TAGATTCTGTATATGAACCCCAAGAAGGAACTACCCTGGGGCCTATGGGTATTGTATAATAATACATCAGCAACTGGTCTTGTCTCGACCTGCCCGTAACTTTTTTGAGTGTCAGACTGCTGTTCGTAGTCTGCAAGGCTTGTGGGTGTCGAGTGTCGGGCGTAGTGCAAAGCCACCGTCGCATGTTCAGAAGCTCAAGCCCTCAACAGCCTGAAAATCCTAAACGCCAAAGCCCAAGGCCCAACACCCAAAAGGCCCTAAGCCTTAAGCCGGGCTTATCAGCTTTGCAAGGCCAACGACGACTTGCTTGCGCTCTGGCTTCAGCTTGGGCCGAAGCTGCCTTCGCAAAAGCACGCTTGCGCTCTTGCAACAGCGTGCAAGGCATTGCCGCGCTCGCTGGTGAAAAGCCGCATCTGCGTTTCATGGATGCAGCAGCTCGAAGCACTTTCCCAGCAAGATCCGCCCTTCAGATGCAGCCCCAAAGATCTGGAGCAAGCGGTTCAGCAACTGGGGAAACTGTCGTCTGAAGACGGTTCCATGCTGATTGAATATGTCGTATCCTTGTGCGATGCGTACATCGAGCCAGAAGCCCCACTTGAATTTTGATCCGATCTGCACGAAGTGCTTCACCTTAAACATATTCTGCTCGAAATCGGGCACAGCAAATTCGGATTGCTCCGATGCAATTTCTGGATGGCCCGAAGGCTCGAAAGAGCCGCAGGACTTTCTCCCTAGGTGAGCTTCAAAACAGGTGTGTGTGGTGCCAACGGCAAGATATGAAGAAACTCTACTGTTACTAGACTCTGTAGGCTTTTTCTGGCAGCAGCACGCACATTCTGCACAGCCCGAAGGCAAGCTTATGTGTCGGCTCATGCAGGACTTGCTCTCAAGTTGAGCTTCAAAATATGTGCGCGGTGCCAAGCGGCATGATATGAAGAAACTCTACTGTTACTAGACTCTGTAGGCTTTTTCTGGCAGCAGCACGCACATTCTGCACAGCCCGAAGGCATCAAGCTCATGTATCGGCTCATGCAGGACTTGCTCTCAAGTTGAGTGACACATGATATGCGTGGTGGCAAGCGGCAAGATACGCAGAAGGTTTGATCATTCATGTACTAGCCATCTTCCGAAGCCTCCTATGAATCTGTGCAGGTTTGCTTGCCGGCAGCCACCGTGCACATTCTGCATAGCTTCAGCGTCAAGCTAATGCTTCAGATCATGTTGATGGCCTTAGTCTCCATCCTACAACTGTAAACCACTAACCCGTACACGGTCCTGAACCCTACCAGGATACTTGAGGCGAGGTACTCTTCACTCTCGGCAGAATGGCCTTGCTCAGGAGTTGGTCCTTTTAAAGGGGCCTGCCCTTTTTTTTTTTTCTCCTGAGCGGGGCCTCGCCAGATGCGTGCCACCATCTTTTTACTCCCCCAAGGGGCGCTTTTTTACTCGTATTCGCCCGCCCGCCGCCCTTCAGGCAGCTCGAGCTTGTGCTCTGGCATGTTCACGGGGTACTGTTGTGCTACCGGGATAGAGCCGCTTTCTTTCAGATCTGCAAGGTCCTCTCATACAGCTTTGAAAGCCTGCGAACTACGAACTGCCGAGTCTCCGTGCGGCGCGGGTTCGGAATTCCAGATGCATGCGCTGTCAAAAGGCAAGAATGACATGATCTTCAGCCACACGCCAGTTGAAAGCAACAAACTACTAAACATAGCCAGGAATCCATCACCCGCCTTCGTGTAGTCATCTGAAGCCGCAGCCACTCGGAAAAAACGGTTCTACTTATCTTGGCATTACCATACCACTAGCACCACCATCATGGTTGTCATAATGATCAGCAGCATGATGTTGATGATGATGACCATCACCCTCGCCATTACCATCACCATCATCGTTATTTCTATCTTCATTATTACTGCTGCAACGACCACCAGTGCTGCGACCGATACTGTGACTGCTACTGTGACTGCTACAGCGACTGCTACTGCGACGGCCACTCGGGCGCTGAAGGCAATGTGGTCTGAGCTTGCCAACCAAAGATATTTCTCTTGAGATTGCAGTTGGATGTTCAAACCGTCTATGCGTTTTTGCCACAACCAGTGGGCTGGCTCCAGCTGATTGCAATTGCGCTTTGACCTTCGAGCAGAGGCGACGCGTGAAGAAATGACAAGATGTGTTGGGAGTCCAGAGCCCTAAACCCTACACCCAACCCTAAACTCCTGAAAGCCCTAAACGGGACCACACAGTTTCCGTGACCGGTCAGGATCATGGCGGCGCGTTGGATCATTTTCATGACCGGCTTGGTGCAAGGCAATTGCAGTGGGGATTTGTGCACACTTCCATGCTGCAGCAAAGTGGTCATGGGCGGCAGTGGTGTAGAGAAGAGATGAACAGGTTGTGATTGTCTGTGCTCGCATGCAGCCGCTTGGGGAATAGCGGAGTTGGCGGCCAGCCTTGTCTTCGTTTTGATGCGTGACATCTGCTGCTTGGGGATGTACGTGTTTGTCGGCCAGGTTGGCAGCCTTAACTTCGGGCCCGCACAACCCCTTAACGTCCAAACAGAGTGCGTGCTCCTTGCAACACCTGCTGTTGGTTTGGCTCGTCTCCGTTTGACTGGCAGGCTGTAGGCAAGTGCAGTCTGTAGCAAGGGTGTCTCGGGTGTCGCCTACCGCGCCGGCTGCAGGTGCATTGAGTTCACCAGCATGGCAGGTAAACGTGGGGCTCGAGCCTGAGATGTCCTGCATCAGGTCGAAGGATCATGGGACTTAGCAAGGTTACAAATGGGGCAGCCGTGGTTGTGATTACTTATGATCCCGTTTAAGGGGTTTCTAACCTTGCATACAACATCCTTGGATTCCAACCTGGATTCACCACGCCGTGGCACTACGTGGGCTAAAGACTGTCCAGTGCATCCCTGTGAACAGCAGGAGTGGAAGCCCCGACCACTTAGGTCATGCGCGTTGCAAGAAGATGGCTGCATTGCCAGCACGGACGCGCCGGCCAACCAGCTGCGTGACATCTCCTGCTTGATCGGGCTCCAACATAGCACCAGGCGGAGAGATGATAGGGATTATTCAGTGTGGCGCCATCGCATGCCAGGACATTTGTATACGTGTACGTGTGAACACAGGCGTTGTCTCCATTTTGGGACATGTTGTGCCTGCGCATCACTTGAATCCTCGTGACTTGGAATCCTGCTGTGACAATCATGATGAATATGAAGATTATGATGGTGATGATGATGACGATGATAATGATGATGGTGATGGTTGTAATCATGATGATGACGATGCACCTTTCGACGACGACAGAGGTTATTCAGTGTGGCGCCGTCGCATGCCAGGACATTTGTATACGTGTACGTGTACGTGTGAACGCAGGCATGCGTTTTCTCCATTTGGGGACATGTTGTGCCTGCGCATCACTTGAATCCTCGTGACTTGGAATCCTGCTGTGACAATCATGATGAATATGAAGATGATGATGGTGGTGATGATGATGGCGATGATGATGGTGATGGCTGATGATGACGACGATGATGGTGATGGCTGTTATCATGATGATGACGATATGCCTTTTGACGACGACAATGATTGTCGTGTTACCTTTGAGCCATCTTCTAAAATGCAGGCAATCTTTCCAAGTAGCTGCTTGGCCCAGTGAAGGGCCATCGAGATCGAGATCCTGCCCTTCTCGGCCAACGACACCCAGCGGGGCGAAATGATGCAGGAGAGCATTGAGTTGGATCCATTTCTGTCGTGTCTGATGCAATCAAGCTGCAAACTGCTCTTGGCTGAGGTTTGTTTGCAGGGTTTGGATAGTCTAAAGCAGAGCACCGAATACTCTAATCCCTAAACCCCCGTAAACCCCTAAAAGGAGACCACACCCAACTCGGAGACTCGCTCAAAAAGCCCCGTGAACTCCGAGCCCCCAAAAATTATGAGAAAGCGCAAAAAACCGCAGGGCTGGAAGCTGTGCCGCGCTGAGACTGAGGCCAGGGCGAGTTTAAGGTTTAGGGGCTCAGGGTTTTAGGGTTTAGGGGTTTTGGGGTTATTTGGGTTCAGGGTTTAGGGTCTAGGGCGGCTTTCGGCTTGGGGGCTTTTTTGCGGTTGTGGAGCTGCTGGGCCTAGGCCAGGCCCTAAAGGTATGGCTTACATTGTCGGCGCATGCTTTCGGGTCCTGAGGTGTGCTAGAATCCCGCTCTGCATCGTGAGGACAGTCGCGTGGTGGCGAGGTCAGAGAACCAGGGGGAAGGCCCCTCGGGTGTACGTAGGGTGAAGTGCTCTAGAATGGTGGTTATGATGAGCGTTGCTATAACGGTTGTTGTGAGGGGGTTACTCCAAGGCAAGGGCCGCTCGGGGGGTGGCTATACCGCAGCATGACTAATGGACATGTGCGGCGCAATCCAGGCGGAATAGACTACCTTTGTTGCCACGCATGAAGCGATCAATGGGCGGCGCCCATGTAACAGTCACAGCTATGACCATTTCTGCAAGACCATTTGCCGATGGAGCAGCTAAGCCATTTTTCAGAACTTCTGTGGAGTATGCAGCTGATGTTTCCGCTCCACTGATTTTTGCACGTCCTCTGTTTGCCCAGCACCACATCCTAGAGCTGTAAGTTTGTGCTGTCCAGGCTCACCTGCCTGGCATCTTGTGAGTGGGTCCATGCCCCAGCCGCTTCTGCAGTGCTTCTCCCTGCTGCAAAGTCTCGGTTCCGTCAGTAGCTCCGAACGCACGCGCACCAGGCCTGCTTCTGCGTTTTGTGCAAGTCATCGAACCCTAAACCGCCAAGCTGCCTCCGCGCGCGCACCATCAGCCACTCGCACGGGTCTGAAGCAGCAGCAAGACTTTGACTGCACAGGTGGATGCTTCCCGAAGCCTTGTCGGCATGCCTTCAGCCCCAATCTTCCATGCTCATGGTCTCACATTCCACACCGATCAAAGCAGCCACTGGCGCAAGACAGCGAAGGGAAGGCTTAGCGCTTGTAACTTTAGCCGGCCATGACTTGTTCGTGTTCACCCACTCTCTCCTTTCCACCCTTTTGCGGCCAAGGCCGTGCAGAGTCGGAGGAGATTGCATCCTGAGCCCGAGACCTCCGGACGCCTGCGTTGTCCAAGCTGCTCCCGGGGACAGGCTCACCTCCAGAGCTCACCTGCCGCATGCTGAAGATCTCTCCTTCCTTTGTCGGATGTCAGTGAGACTTTCCCCCCTCCCCCCGCCACCCCGCTGCCCTCGTCTTGTCGCAGGAGGTCCATCGTGTTCCGGGCCTTCTTGACCGGAAGGCACCGGGACCTGGACGAGGCGCGAGAAACGTGCCAAGGTTTCTCGTTCCGCCGCCGCCAGCTGCGAAGCTTTGCCCTGCTCAGGATGGTGCCGGGAGCGTTCTTTGCATGACGTCACAAGGCGAGTCTTCCCAGGAGCAGGGAGAAAGCAATCCCTGAACTCATTTGCGCATCTCGCTCTCTCTTGGCGAGGAGCCTCGCCTTCGTGCACTGCAGGCCTCCACCCCTGCCACGGCTCTGGCCACGTCGAACTGGTCCGAGGTGGTCAGCTGCAACTTCGAGGCCGCAATAGGACTTGAGACTGAGAGTGAGAGCCTTTCGAGAGATGAGGAAGATGCGAGAAGCTGTGAGGCTAACTTTTGCGGGTGGTCGAATGGTGACAACGCCTGGCGGCCTCGTTCCGGATCGACTCCATCATCAGACACGGGACCAGAGCAGGCAGCAGAAGGGGACTGGTACGTCTATGTAGAGTCGAGCTCCAATGCGAACAAGGCCGGGCTTTTCAACAAAAGAAAGGGTAGCGCGCCAGAGCCTGGTCGCAGAAATGCACGACAGGAGTTCATCCTGACCAGCGGCATCTTCGACACTTCACCAGCAACGCGGCATCTCCATTTCTATTTCCATATGTTTGGGAGACACTTGCAGACGGGCAGCCTGCGAATGGACGCGTTGCGAAGCAGTGGCTGGACGCAAGTGTGGTCGCGAATCGGAGAGCAAGGGACGCAATGGGGCACAGCATTGGTGAGTCTACCGCAGGACGCCGCAGCTGTGCGTTTCGTCGGCATCACAGGCGACAGCTGGAGGAGCGACATTGGGCTGGATGGCATCGCCACTGGGCTCCCCACGGTGGAGTTCGATCAGCTCACTTGTGAGTTCGGTTTCGACACCTGCCTGTGGCAAAGCACTGGTGCATCTTCATGGCAGCTTGCGGGGGACGCGGATGGCCAGTGGCTGGAGGCTGTGCAGAGTGGTTCCCAAGCTTCGCAATGGATCTTGGAAACCGCGGCACTCTTCAACACCACTGAGGAGAAGGCCTTGGTTTTCGACTATCAGTTGAACGGCTCGGGAACCGTGGCGTTGGAGCTACAACACCAAGCCTCCGCTGGCGACTGGCAGCGTTTGTGGATGCAGTCAGGCAGCCGCGGCGCAGGTTGGCATGCCGCCATCGTCACCATCCCTTCCTCCACCGTGAGCCTGCGCTTGCTTGCCAACGTCACTGACGACGCAGATGTCGTGCGGATCGACTCGCTCCATGCAGCGGACGTCCTGCACGACTGGAGCTCCATTTCCTGTGGTTTTGAATCCGACTTCTGTGCTTGGTCCACCAGTTCCCACCCATGGCTGCGAGGTTCAGGGACTACGCCTAGCTCAGGTACCGGGCCGGACGAGGCTGCGGAAGGTGAGTCGTACATTTATACAGAAGCCAGTGACAATGAGAACAAGGCCGGACCACTTCAGAAAGCTAAGCAGAATGCACAATGGTAGTTCTTCACAAGCCCTTGTGCAGGAGTTCATTCTCACCAGCGACCTGTTCGACCCATCACCGGAATCTCGGCATCTCCATTTCCATTACCACATGCAAGGTGCGGACACAGGCAGCTTGCGAATGGACGCGTTGCGAAGCAGTGGCTGGACGCAAGTGTGGTCGCGAATCGGAGAGCAAGGGACGCAATGGGGCCTGGCACAGGTGATGCTGCCGCAGGATGCGAGGGCTGTGCGTTTCGTTGGCATCACAGGCGACAGCTGGAGGAGCGACGTTGCGCTGGATGGCATCGCCACCGGACTCCCCGATCCGCTCACCTGTGAGTTCAGTGTCGACACCTGTGGCAAAGCACTGCTGCCTCTGCCTCTTCATGGCAGCTTGCGGGGGACGCGGATGGCCAGTGGCTGGAGGCTGTGCAGAATGGTTCCCAAGCTTCGGAACGCATCTTGGAAACGGGCACACTTTTCAACACCACTGAGGAGAAGGCCTTGGTTTTCGACTATCAGTTGAACGGCTCGGGAACCGTGGCGTTGGAGCTACAACACCAAGCCTCTGCTGGCGGCTGGCAGCGTTTGTGGATGGAGTCAGGCAGCCGCGGCGCAGGTTGGCATACTGCCGCAGTTACTGTACCATTTGGCACTGTCAGTGTCCGCTTCGTGGCCAACGTCTCCGAGCCAGGCTTGGTGAAGCTGGATTCCTTCTTGGTGACGGCCATCGAGCCCGCGCTGGCAAACAGTAGCTGCAGCTTTGAGGAGACTTGCAAGTGGATGGGAGACTGGCAGCGCCGCAGCAGCCCCTTTCGCAGTCTTACAACCGCCTTCCAGGCGGAGAGCTACTAGGATGCCCAGTAGTACCCTTATTCCCTTTTTGTAGTCCTAGGTTCCTGAAAAAAAGTTACCCAAAACCAAAAAGAGAGGCCTTTTTTTCTTAGGTTACTGGGTATCCTAGGCTATGCTTATGCTGGCGGCTCCGGAACTGTTGGTGGCAAGGCGGGCAGGCGGGGGCAAAGTCTGTTTTGCAACTTTCCGCCCTGTCCCTCGCAGACATTCGTGCTCACCAGCCCGCTCTTCCCCAAGATCGCCAACGTCTCCTACCTGGAGTTCGCTTTCTACATGTATGGTAGCTCCGTCGGCAAGCTGGAGTTATGGTACCTGCGCAACAACATGTGGAGCTTGCGCTGGTCCCGGCAATCAAACCAGGGGAACGCCTGGCTTCAGGCCAAGGTGACGCTCCCAAGCGGAGTGGAGATGCTCCGCTTCGTGAGCTCCGGCGCCCTCTCCGAATTCTCCCATGTAGCTTTGGACGCAATCCTCGCTTGGGAGGGCCCTGAAGCAGCCCCTGCAGAGTTCCTGAGCCTCTCTTCTGGTAACTGGCACAACTGTGCAGTTCTCCAGGCCGAGGGCCTCCTGAAGTGCTGGGGAGTTGGGGATCACGGCCGCCTGCTTTCCGGCAGCGACGCAGAAGTGGGGCTAGCTCCGGGTCAGATGGGTGAGAAGCTTCCGGCCGTGGACCTCGGGGAGCCCGGCGTTCGAGTGACGCAGGTGACCTGCGGTGTTTGGCACACCTGTGCACTTCTCGAGACGGGCTTCTTCAAATGCTTCGGGAGTGGCACTCATGGCAAGCTGGGCAATGGACACACCCGCCATGTTGGAGATGAGCCTTTGGAGATGGGCGCGCATTTGCCAGCCGTGGACCTGGGCCCCGGTGTGGAGGTGGTGCAGGTGGATGCTGGACGTACCCATACCTGCGCTCTGCTTCGGGGTGGGAGCGTGAAGTGCTTCGGGGAGGGCCGGCTGCTGGGCTTGGGAGACGAGCGCGGGCCCCAGAAGGTTCGGACAGCTACTTGTGAGTTGAGTGTGCGCAACGCACCTAAGGGAGGATCGTGGCGACGAGCCCGGCGAGATGGGCTCCAACCTCACTGCGATTGACCTGGGCACCGACTTCGAAGCGGCGGTGCAGCTGGCCTTGGGAGATTACCACAGCTGTGCTCTGTCAAGCCAAGGTACCGTGAAATGCTGGGGACGGGGAGATCGCCTGGGACTGGGACTTCCCGCTGTCGGAATCGGTAACAGCCCCAACGAGATGGGAAATGCCCTACCTGCGGTGGACTTGGGCCCCCTTCCGGCTGCGCAGATCGCAGCTGGGTCCCGCCACACCTGCGCCGCTGCTTGCCCGCATCCAGCGCACTGGTCTCGTTTTGATCGTAGCGTGTCACAGTGCCCAATGGCAGGTGCTGTCCGACGGCTCGGCAAAATGCTGGGGTGCGAATCACAGGGGTCAACTTGGGCACGGCAGCCTTGAAGACGCGGGTGACGAGCCCGGTGAGATGGGCACCAGCCTTCCGGTCGTGGATCTGGGCGATGGGATGACGGTCGTCCGTATCACTGCTGGCAGTCATTACAGCTGCGCCATCCTCCAAGATGCAAGCCTCAAGTGCTGGGGCTCGGGCGTGAGTGGCCAGCCTGGGCCTCAGTGGGGGGGTGGGGGTGAAAGGACTGCTTTTGATTCAGTCACAAAAGACCTGGAGGCTAAACCCTAAACCCAGCACCCAAAACTTTAAATCTCGAGGCTTGGCCAGGGCAACCTGGAGAGCTTGGGAGATGAGCCCTCCGAGATGGGCTCCAATCTTCGCGCAGTCGGCCTGGGCAATCTCGAGGTGCGGGATGTAAGTGCCGGTTCCGGCCACACCTGCGTGCTCCTGGAGGACGACAGCACGAGGCGCCTGATATCGGTTAAGGCTTAGGGTTTAGGGTTTAGGGTCCCTGCCCAGGTGCTGGGGCGAGGGCAGTTTGGGGCAGCTGGGCACTGGCAGCGCCCTCAGCGTCGGCCAGGTGCCTGGCGAGCTTGGTGTGGCTTTGGTGCCTGCGGAGCTCTTTCCCCGGACCCTTGGTGCTGGCCTTCAAGGTCTCAGCTTGCTTGCCGTTGCCGAAGACCATGGCTTTGCCAAAGGGCTGCTCCAACTGCAGCACAACGCCTCGGTCGGCTTGGTCTGCGATGATGACTTTGATTCTCGGGTGGCGCAAGTGGCCTGCCGTGATCTCGGCATGGCCGGGGGCAGGACGCTGCCAGCCTTGGCGATGTGGGGTTGGGTGGGGGCCGGCACCATCCTTGCTGACAACATTCAGTGTACAGGCGCAGAAGTAAGCCTTCGCGACTGCGCCTTTCGCGGGTGGCATCTGCACGACTGCACTCTTCAAGAAGCCGCAGGCCGTTGAAGTGAAAGCTAGGAGTTGACGTGGACATGGTATAAACACATGATGTGCTGTTGCTGTTGTGGCCAGTTCTCAGTTCGCAGGTCTTGAGTGCGAGTCGGATGCGTGGAGCGAGTACACGCCCGCCGCAAGCCCAGCCGGGCGCCAGGACGCGTCTATGGTCTGGGACAGTGAGACTCAGTCTGCATGGATGTTCGGGGGCCACGCCAGCAATGCCTTCCTGTACTTTGCGGACTTGTGGCGCTATGACTGGTCTCGGCGAGCTTGGACGGAGATCCTGCCGCTGAACGAGGGCTCGACCCCCGGCAGCAGATGGGGCCACGCGGCTGTATGGGATGCGCATTCCAGGTCTATGCTGATCTTTGGAGGCAGGTTTCGAGTTGCCTTCTACGATGACATTTGGCAATTTCGCAGCACGGACAGCACTTGGAGGCAATTGCCTACCATGGCGAAGCCGTCGGCACGCGCCTACCACAGTGCGATCCTGGACCCGGTGGAGGGTGCGGTGCTAGTTTTTGGAGGAGAGAGCAGCAGCCAGGTGTTGGAGGACCTCCAGCGCTACAGCCTCGCCGACGGCCAGTGGAGCAAGTCTGGCGCGACGGGTCTCGGAGCCCGCAGTCGACACACTGCCGTCTGGGTGCCCGCAACCCGCTCCATGCTCGTTTTTGGCGGGTGGAGTGGGCAGCAATATCTGGATGACCTGTGCAGCTACGATGCTTCAGCAGGCACCTGGACCGACTTGTCAGCTTCAGGATATTGGCCCACGGCTCGCGCGGGGCATGCCGCCGCGTGGGACCCAATTTCAATGAGTATGCTAGTCATGGGTGGCATCACCAGTGTGAGCGATGAGCTCAGCTACGAGTCCTCGCTGTACAACTACAGCCTCTTGACAAACTCCTGGAAGCAAGAGGGCCTGCAAAGCGAGGTCCCAGGCCCAACCGGCCGTACAGGTCATGGCATTGTTTGGGACGACGCTGCTCGTGGCTTGCTGACCTTCGGTGGCTTCAATGCTTCTTACTTGCAGCAAACCTGGCGATACGTGGTCAGTCAGACCAGCTCGCCCTTGCTGGTCAGCTGCCAGCAGGGCCGCAACTGTTCCTTCCGCTGGAACGCCTCGGGCTTGGGCACCGTGAAACGCAGCTGCTCCGACCCGGAGGTCTTGACAGGACTAGGGCTCCCCACACCACTCTCTGAAGCGGAGGAGGATCTCTGGATGTTCGGAGGACATGCATCGCCTTTCTTCGTGGAACCGGGGCATCACCGCCTCTGCTGGTGTGATGTCGTCAACTGCAGCCACCCCGACAACTTCAGCGTGACAGTGGGCTACTTTGTCCTGGAGGGCCCGCAGCTGCAGCAGTCCGCTCAATGCTACCTAGGCAGAGACTGTAGGATTTCAGAGTGGCGAGGAGTCGGCATCTCCGCGAACGACAGCGTCGTGATGCAGAGCCGATGCGGCGAAGGGCCGCGGCTCTCCTCTTCCACCTACTCCCAGCGCTCGGTCGGCGTCTCCTTCAACGAGTCCTACGGTTGGCACACCTTGCACGTGGGCTTCCTCGACCCAGCGGAGGGCCTCAAGCCGGAAGCTCTGGAGCTTTGCTGGTGCCCTGCTGCGGCGGCCCCTTGCGCTTCGGCGGAGGACTTCCTCGTGGTCGCCCTGAGCCTGGACGTGATCTGCCCGCCCGGCGAGTACAGCGAAGGGCCCGGCTCTTCCTGCCTGCTCTGCCCGCCGAACTTCTTCTGCCCGGCGGTTCGGAATTGCAGAGCTGTCCGTCGTCGAGCACTTCGATGCAGGGCTCAAGTCCGCCTCTCAGCACTGCGAGCCTCGCACGCTGGACGCACAGAAACGGATCGTCAGATTCGCCCTCTTTTGCCGAGGCCAACTCTCCGAATGCCTTTGCCTTCAAGGGCGCTACTGGGATGCAGAGAGCGCCATCTGCCTGGCGTGCCCCGCTGGGTCTTCGACGTTGCAGGCGGGTCGTCTGCAGGTTCGTAGTTGCGTGAGGTTTCTTCTGCTTCGTCTCTTCCTCGTGTTGTCGGCTGCACGGCCCTGCTTGTGACTGGAGGAGGGGGCCACCAGCCTGGCGTCCTGCACTTGCATGCCGGGCTTCTTCGCGACGCAGCCCGACAATCCGGCAGTTTGCGAAGCCTGCGGCGTGGGCTTCTTCTGTGCAGGGGGCCTGCAGACCCCGCAGCCGTGTGCGCCGTCCCAAACCACTGAGAGCGACACTTCAGCCGACGAGTCCAAATGTGTTTGCAGGGCCGGCAGCTTCTTGGAAGACGGGCTTTGCGCCCCGTGTCCGGTTGGATTTTTCAAGGGCAGCGTCGGAGACTTCCCGTGCTCGCCATGTGGTACTGGCACCTTCAGCAACGGCACGGGAAGCACAGAGCCTTGCAGATGCCAACAGGGCTATGGTTTTGACGAGGAGATCGCGCAGTGCAGACCATGCCTTCCGGGCGAATACAAAGCACTGGTAGGCGACACTCCGTGCAGCCGATGCTCTACCAATAAGACCTCTATGGAGGGCGCCGCGTCTCCCCTTGACTGTCGATGCCGCTCAGGTCTTGCAGCAGAGGGTGAGAGCTGCCGAGACTGCCGAGAAGGCTTCTTCTGCCAGGGCCAGGGTGAAGAGCGGCGATGCCAGGATGATGCCACCTCACGCAGGGGCTCCATCCTGCAGGCAGATTGCCTATGCCTCCCAGGTTACTATTCCCTTGAAGCTCAGGGCCTCTGTGAGCCTTGCGAACCTGGACGCTACAAGCCCACGCTGGCCAACGATCCATCGTGCCCATTACAGTGCCCCACAAATGGCGAGAGTGCCAATGCGTCCACCAACTTAACAGAGTGCTTCTGCATGCCAGGATTTTACGCAGTGCTCGATGAAGGATCCCTCTCCAGGTGCGCCAGTTGTGCCTTCCTTCCTCATTTGCAATGCTTGGGTGGTTTTCACACTCAGGCGGGCATCACTCAGTTGGGGAACCACAAGCTGCCTGTCGCCCGGCCGGGCTACTTCCAGACAGGAGTGACAATCGCCGTGAAGTGCACGGCTGTCACGTCCACTGGCCTCAGCGCTTGCCTCGGAGGGCAGCTATGCGCGCAAGATGACACGGTGGAATGCTTCGGCAAGTATGACAACGCCTGCGACGAAGGCTCCACCGGGTTCTTTTGTGGAGAATGCCCCGCTGGTTGGGCCAGGAGTGCCTTCCAGCAGCCATGCGAACCGTGCGCTGCTGGTGCTGTTTTGCCTCTGGTAGCCTCTGTCATCATCGATGTTGGCACGAAGGTCGCGGGTGCCGAACAGTTGCCGAATTTTAAGGGGGTGTTTGCCAAGCCGCCCCTCAATCCTAGAAGTTGGCCGCAGCAAGGGAAGTGTAAGAAACGGGAGGGAGCGGGTCATAGCGGGGGAAGCGGACAGGCCACGATCAACTTCGTGGTCGCGGCCATGGCCGCAATGGCGGCAGTCAGAGCCAGCAGCAAGCTCCACACGGTGATGATCCGCATCGCCGTCCAGTGGCTGGCTGCCTGCTCTGTCCTGACAGCTTTCGACCTCACGCAGATTCCGCTCGAGAACGACGTGGAGACCCAGCGAGATCAGGAAGAGCATCCACTCTTCCCATGGCCTGCGCAGGTGGCGGTTGCAGGAGGGTCCTTTGAACCCGAGATTTGACCCGCCCCTGAAAACCCGTTTCGCCCCGCAGCAGGTCAGCGCAGCGATGCGGGGCCTCTTCGAGACCCTCACGCTGACGCCGGTGCTGACATCTGTCAACTCGGCCACACAGTGCTTTGCCCAGGCCAGGTAACAGTAGGCTCCCATAGGGACACAAATCGAATCGAAACAGCATGTCAATGTGGAAGCTGAAAGTGCCGCACGGCTATCGTACACATCAAGGGAAAATACAAGTAAGATAAGTGAGAGCTCGAGTTCTGTGTTGCCTGAAATCCTAAACCTATCCACGAGGCTCAAACTCTGGATCAGATTCCGCAAGCCAATATACTATACTCCTTAATCAGCTTCTGTTTCATCACTTACACTTGCAATCTGAACTGAGAGTGTCGTCTGAATGGTCGTGTAGCGACTCGTGCAGCTTAGCGGTTTCGGACTCCGTCAGGAGCTTGCTCCTGACAGCACTGCCCCGCGCATCGCCTTTGGAGTGTACCACCTCGCCTTACCTCTCTTGGTCATGATTGGCATTCTTCTGCTCTCCTTCGTGGTGGTGCATGTGGTGGTGCCCTTGGGGCAGCGTTTCGGCTTCTCCTTCAACGAGTCCGGACGTAGCATGAACCATCTGCGCAAGATCATAGACCCCATGCTCAAAGAGATCTTGCGCAAACCTGTCGCCGAAGCCTCCATCACAACGTCGCGTACTTCTGACGCCTTCGCCTGGGCGGACTTGGAGCGCGCGGGCACCTTGGGGAACCTCACCACGGCTCAGTTGCAGCAAGCGGCGGAGAACCCGGATGGCTTCTTGCGCACGGCTGCAGCCGGGTCGCGAGAGCTCCTGGTCAGCGCCTGTGCGGCTCGTGCTGCCCAGCTGCATCCACAGGCCGAGGCCCAGGAGCTTTACCAAGAGCTGGCGAAGGCACCACACCTGAACTGGACATGCTGCAGACTTCCTGTTTGAAGAGCTGTGACATTCTCTGCTGCAGTCGCACTTGCGCAGGCGGATCTCCGACAGTTCCTGACCGCGGACTTCGCCACTCGGTCTCCGGATTTTACGGCAATGCTGGACAAGGTCTTGGATGCGGCATTCACCTTCGACGAGGAGACCGTGCCCGTACCGAAGGAAGGCCCTGAGCAAGAAGAGGCTGACGAGCTCCGGCTCGTGGGCTCGGAGCACGCGCCTTGCGACGTCGTGGTCGCCTTGCCCACGGACGCAATGCGCGGACCCAAGAACTGAGCTGCTCGTATTTCCGCCTCGTGAGCTTTGTGTGTTTGGCTTCCCGAGGCCAGAGAAGAAACCGGGGGAAAAGAGCACCTTCAGCTTTACATCTTTGGACAACCGAGCCAGCCCGATGGACTCTCTCAACTGTGGCCTCTTCTCGCCGGCACCTCGCTTCGGCGAGCTCGCATACCAGAGCGTGCCCATCATTTGGGTGAGCCTGGTCTCTCTGTGGCCTGGGCTACTGTCCAGCTTCCTGCAGATGATCTGGTGCGTGTCGGTTCTGGAAGACGATGTGCTGGTGAGCCGCCTGCTGCCCAACCCTTCCGTCATTTGTTGGTCCGACGAGCACCTGGTTTCTGCGCGCTTCGCCATCGCTGGGCTCGTCGTGTGGTGCCTGGGCATACCGATTGTGCTGGCCACCGTCTTGTTTCGCCTCCCGGATAGGCAGGCTCCTGACAACTTCAGGCCTGGGCGAGAGACGGGGCCATGCAGGGTGCGCAAGACTTGAACGAAGCCCTGATGCGCAGGCGCTTTGGCTATTTCTTCCAGGGCCTGGAGCGACAGTTTTGGTGGTGGGATCTCCTCGTTAAGCGCTTCGTCGTGGCCTCAGATCGAGACCTTCACGAGTGGTTGTGTTTGTTTGCATGTGGAAGGGGCTGCATAGGCGCTTCTTAGAGGGGCCTTCGCAGCCTGCTCTGGAGAAACTGAAAAAACATATCTGAACAGCAGCCGAGGACTTGGCGCTGATGATGCTGGTCGCCTACACTTCCCTCGTGCCGGATCAGAAGGCCAAGCTCGCGCTCTTCCCCGTCCTCTCGGCCTTCCAGGCAGACAGCACGCTGAAATGGGTCCGCTCGGACAGTGAGCCCAAAATCGCCCACATCTCAAGCAAAAAAGACAATAAGATGCTGGGGCGCAGTCGATCACATGCATGCAGGATGCACGCAGATGCACGCAAAGAGAGGGAGGAATGGGCGAAGAGCACGCACATGTAGCGGCGGCTTCCTGAAGCTGCTTGCGAGCATAAGTAGCACTGGCAGTCGGCGGTCATGCATGCCCGTACCCAAACCTTGCCCTGTGACTGCTGTTCCGAAGACCGCGGAAGAGCTATCTGACCTGGAGTGCAGAGCTGTTGTTTCTTTTGTCTTTTGCCCCGAGCCTAGCTACTTCTCTGTGCGTGCTCAGCCGTGAATCACAGCAGGCGCTGCTGGCATCGTGGGTCCGGCCCTATGCAAACGACCAGGCTGAGGTGCTGGACGTCTTGGAGGCCATCGCCGCGCCATCCGCTTGATTTAGCAGGGCCTCCCGGCTCTTGAGGGCTTTCCGAGTGCTTCCTGCAGGTGACGCTGTGCTCGATCCGGTTTCTGCTCTTCAGCGGAGTGGCGCTGCTTCTCAGTCTGGAGACACCGACAGAGACGGCTCACATGCCACTGTGCCGAAATCTGGAAGCTACTATGCCCTGCAACCCATCCCAGAAAGCCTAAACCCTAAACCCTTTTCGGGCATTTCGGGATGTGATTGCGCAGACGGAAAATGGTGCTTAACAAAACCCCGAAAAGGGTGGCCTACCTCCTCTTGCTGGTCTTGGTGCTCGCCTGCCTTTACTTCTTCGCCCACTTCACCGCCCAGGTCTGGCCAAGACACTAGGAGGGTTTAGGGTTTAGCCGGGAGGGTCTTGGGTTTAAGGTCTGGATGGTGACTTCAGTTTCTTGTTCTAAACGACTACTTTCGTATTACATAAGAATCGCAGTCTATCGTCAATTGGGCTGCGTCCGAAGGCCTTTGCTTCGTCTTTGAGTAGGGGCTGAATCTTAACATGGTCAATCATGAAAAAAGGCGAAGCTCGCTGTATTTTGTACTGCTGCTTTTCCATGATTCTTCGTTACCGGTACTGGACGATGCAGCTGTACATGACTGTAACTACACTTGTTGTATGGTCTCGTAGGCCTTAGCTGGCTGCCACTGTTGCTGTCTTAGTCGTGTCTTGTGCTGCTGTTTGTATCTGTACATTTTGAACCTTCGTTGAGTTTTGCTTTTGTTGCTATTTAGGGTGTTGAGTCCATGATATGAGTCACAGGCGTCAACTTTGACTCCTAAACCCCAAGCCCTGCGCTAAACCGCTAAGCCCTAAACCCGCCCTTTTCTTCCAATCTGCGGAGGTCCTTCAAGATGCAGCAGCCTGGAGATCGGTAGGCCAGCGTTTTGCGACGCGTCGAACTCTTTCAACATCTGCCGGCGTCAGGATTCAGTAGTATTTGCTACAGTTTAGGGTTTATGGCTTCAGGGGTTTAGCTATAGGGTATAGGGTACAGGCTTCTGCAGAGAACGACAGGGCAGCCTGTTGGAGGTTGGTTTCCGCGCTTTGTCATCGAGTTGGCATTGCCCCTGTTTACCGAGGCGCGGGCTACATGAAGGCTGCACATTGAAGCGCATACTACATGCGTCCATTACATTACATATTGTACATATTATATCATGTGATATTATGCTTTAGTGTATTATAGTTTATTATACTATGTATTTTACGGCATTGAAATCGCTTGGGTTCTATTCATGTATATTATATTAGGTAGAATTCCCAATATGATTTAATATAGTATAACATATTACATTGTATTATATATCATTTTAGTATGTTGCATTTTCATTTAAGATATAACATGTAACATACTAACTCACTATATTAGATCATGCTATATAATATTATAGTACATTGTTTTGTGCTGTATCATGTGTTGTTATGTTTTGTCATGCAGCTTTACGAAAGTTTTTTGTTGCATGATATTCGGTCATAGTATAGTATTGCAGACTCCAATATATCATAGTAGATTGTAGTATACGATATCATATTCTTTGATATGCGGTCTTTTTATGTTGTCTAAACTATGTTGTATTTTCGCATTATACATTGTGTTTGTGTTGTAGGATATCATATCATATAGTGCTAGACTGTTTCAGATCGTTTTATAACAGTTCATATCATATCATGTCATATTCCGTCATATTCTAGTACATGGCATTATAAGAGAAGTCTACTTTATTATTGTTACACCGCATATTGATAGTTGTTCTAGAAGTATATATGAACCATCTGATTGTTTTGTATAATGATTTCTTTCATGGTGATGTCGGATTTTATAGTTTATCTGACGTAATACACACGTTGTAAATATATGTATGTGTGTATATATATATGGATATATTCGTATATGTATACATGTTGTTACCTTACGTGCTATTCTATGCTGTTGCATTGTGCTTTAGTCCAGTCTGTGATTCTTTGTTATCTTGTGATGATAGTACGTGCTATGCTATTTTATGTTCGTGTTTGATGTGTTGCATACCTGTGTATACTACATATTGCATATAAACATATATAGATGTTAAACTGTAGTACATATTCGTATGTTGTGTTTTATGATTTTAGACAATCTTGCATAATACCAAATTAGATTATCGTTTTCCCATCAACTTATGGTTGTCATGATTTGTATGACCTGCTGGGTTCACGACCACCTGGGACTCCACGAACTCTTCGCATCCACATTCTGGATGGCTACCGGTATCGGGCAAATGCAAGAGCTGGAATATCCACATCTGCAGTACTTTCGCAAGTGCGTACTCATCTAACAAACTGTACCCTCAGAAACCGGTTCTTTCGTTTCCAGGATGTGCAGTTGCAACCAGATGCATTTGCTCGTGCCCTTCGCTACACCCAGAACACTAAACGCTAAACCCTCAACCCGAACCTTAAACCCTAAACCCTTGGAGCCGTGACTGATGCAGGCGCAGTCAGAATCTCTTGAGCTGGTTTGGTCTTTCTCGTCGGAGGAGATCACAGCGACAACTGCATCCCTTGATGCAAGGCACGTGTTTAGGATTCAGAGTTTGATGCAAGGTCCGCGTTCTGTGAACAGAGCTTTAAGCAGTCAAGGGTTTTGTCCGTGACATGAGCCTACCTTAATCCCAACACCCGACAGGCAAATCTCGTGTCGGGTTGTGGAACTTGGTTTTGGGTTTTGTTATCGGATTGGACCAGGGTCGATAAGCAAAGAAAAGCAGGCCACGCACAACACAACGGGCTAGTTTTCTTTTGGTCCCCGAAGGTTTATTTGGGTACTGTTGGAAAGGTTTTTTCTCGCCCTGGGTAGGCCCGGCGCTCAACAGCTTCTCGAGCATACGGAGTCCGAAGCAAGACCTCCGCCCTGTCCAGGGCCCTATTTTTCTCTCACCAACGTTGACAGGGTCTAAAAAACATGCTCTCGCGCGGACGGTTTTTCTTCTAAACCCTAAACCCTAAACCCTAAACCCCCATGGCCAAAGAAAGCCTTCCCCTCAGCGGACATGGCAGTGGCCCCTCTGCAGCCCGGATCGAGATTCCTCGGGCCCGGGATGTTGAGATAAAAGCCCTCCGAACCCAACGAGGGGTTGTGAAATGGTCGCCTCTAAAGAATGCCCTCCCCCTGCCCTACAAGGCCCTGCGAATGGCCCCTAAGGCAAGAGGACCAAATGAAGCCTCGAGGGGCGCAGAAAACACCTTGACAGGCCACACACGGCTCTTTTTGCTTCGTGACAAGGTTTCATCCAGATGTGCCGGTATCGCAGGGTGTTTCTGCGCTTACGTGTTCTTTCTCGTTTTTGTGTGTCCTCCAAGCAGTGAGCTTCGAATTCGCAGGGTTATGCAGGGTTCGATCACTGTCAGGCCTTTCCCGGGTTCGGGCTTCCGCCCTTGCCAGGCTCCCTGTCCTCCGCGGGCTGCCCGCCCTTCGCTGCTTCCTGCCCTTCACGGCTCCCGCCTTCCTACCCTTCGCGGGCTCCCTTTCCTGACCCGCCCTGGGCTCCCTGCTCCTCGCGCTTCCCGGGCTTCGTGCCTTTCGCGGGCTCCCTGCCCTTGGCGGACTTCCTTCGCGGGCTTCCTGCCCTCGAGGGCTCTGCTCCTTGTTCTTAAATTCGCACGTCCTTTTCGAGCGGTTTGCTCCCTCTTCTCAAAAGCTTCAATCGTTTTCGAGCGGTGTGCTCCTTGTTCATACATTCTCTAGTCCCTTTTTCGAGGATTTGCTCCTTGTTCTCAAACTCTCCACTCTTTTTCGAGCGGTGGCTTGCTCCTTGTTCTGAAATCTCTACTGTAGTCTTTTTCGAGCGGTTTGCTCCTTGTTCTCTAGTCTCTTTCGAGCGTTTTGCTCCTTGTTCTTAACTCTCAAACTCTTTAGTTTTTTTCGAGCGGTTTGCTTTTTTGAATAAAATGATTCAGTTTCTTTCGAGCGGTTTGCTCCTAAACCCTAAACCCTAAACCCTAAACCCTAAACCCTAAACCCTAAACCCTAAACCCTAAACCCTAAAGTGAAACTCTCAAGTTCCTTGTGCCCTTGCCTCTCGCGGGCTTCTGCTCTTGGGCTCCCAGCCAAAGGTCCCCTCCCCTCCTCTCCACGGTTTAGGGTTTAGGGTTTAGGGGTTAGGGGTTTAGGGTTTAGGGGTTTAGGGTTTAGGGGTTTAGGGTTTAGGGGTTTAGGGTTTAGGGTTTAGGGGTTTAGGGTTTAGGGCCCTAATTCTTCCAATCCCCTTCCGCTGCCCTTCGTTCCTTGTTGTCGCTTCTTGTACCAACCCCAAGCGAGAAAGCGAGCATGAGGAGCATTCTCGGGGTGTGAAGAAAGCACCGCCCGCACAAAACAAAACCAAAACCCACAACCCGCAAGCCAAAATCGATTGCAAGCAGCTGGGGCCAGGAACAGCGGACAAATGTCCAAGACGGCTCTCGGCAAGATCTGTGGCTCGGACGATCCGAATGGCAAACTTCGGTTCAGGTCTTAGGGCTTAGGGTTTATTTCAGTGTCTGGGGTGTCGGGTCGACTTGTTTGGAACTGTACGGCTGCCTATGAAGCACATGAACAGAAATTCGCATCGCATGCACACGCACACACTCACACGTTACTAAGCATACGTTTGTGTCTCCAGTTTGGTTGAAGGAAAGTGGATAAGCGTGAGTGTAGAAGGAAGCGAGTCGTCCCGAGTCGGGAATCAAGCTGACCTCGGGTCAACACCCCAAACCCTACAAACCTCTCGTACGTCGACTCTCCGACTTATTGGTTGTTGTCTACTTGCTATATGTTTAGATGGTTTATGGATCGCTTCATAGCTTGAATGGTTTCCAAAAGGTTTGGCATAAATACACTGTCACAAGAAGGTTCATACGCATGAGTGACATAGAGTTCGTCCTCAAACGCGAAGTCGAGCATTTTTACAAGCTCATGAATGTACTGCATGCAGCACCCAGGTACGAAAGCGTGGCATGTGCTGCGGCAGCTGAGTAAAGCTGTTTTACGACATGGTCCCCTCTTCCAGCAGGCTGCGGTTGCAAAGGCCACGGTTAAGTGGTCAAGCAAAGGTGTAGGGTTGAGGGTTTGGGGTTCAAGGCTTATGAGGTTTAGGGTTGGGAAGGTAGCCGAACTTGCGGGTACAGCTATCAAAGAAAGCATGTGTGTACCTGCAGGTGTGCACAATCGATTACCAGAGGTTTTCCCTGCGCAGATCTCCGTATACACAGAAGTAACTGCTAGCCGATTGCAGTAGATTGCATGGTTTTCCGAATTTGAAGACATGTACCTGTTCGGCTTTAACATGTTCCTATGGCCTCTGGATTGAAGGCTTGGTTTGCAATATAACATATGGTGGTTTATATATTTTACGTATATGTGTATATGCCTGTGCGTATGTATATGTATATTTTTAAGCCTTTATATGTGCAAGTTTATGTGTGTGTGTGTGTGTGTCCGTGTATGTTCCCATGCAAGTACATGTGCGTATGTGCACATGTCTGCGTCTGTGAGTTTGTAGACGGAAGAATGTAGGTATGTAGGGAAGTAAGTATCTAGGTATGTAGGTGTGTCAGTAGGTATGAAACAGAAACGAATGATGTGTTCAAGAACAAAGAGACAAGATAAGCTAGCGTGGGCATGTGTGTGCGTGCACCTATGCAAATAGTTGCACACATAGATGTGTCTGTATGCACATGTGTCTTTTTGGAGTTTTGGAGCCTGCAGAACCGAGTTGCAGAGACCCGAAGAGATTGAGAAGTCTCCGCACGTTCAGGCTTCGCTGGATGTACCAGCACGCCTGTGTACGTTTTATACGTATCAATGTGCATTGAGAATGTCATTCACAAAACTCCCCCAACTGCGAGGCACCTACACTTCATGTCATCCACACACTAACACCTAGAGAAGAAGCTTTAACACTGAGATGGGTTAGCTTGAAGCAGGCCTCGAGGAACAAATAGGTTGGGTTATGTCTAGTATAGTATAGTCGCGTATCATGTGGTAGAGTCGAGCGAGTAGACTGAGTAGAGCAGAGTATAGTAGGCTCTTGCTGTTCAGTGACGACCCCTTCCTGCATGAACACCTGGCTTTGTCTTGGACTCTCTTCGCAATGCGCGTTCATTCCTCGTTTTGTTTTCAGGGTTTCGCTTGTTCGGAGACGCTTCTTCTCTTTGGTTAGTAGGGAATGGAGGAATGGGTTACAATTAGAACTACTATTGCTACCATGCTTCCATTCCCTTCCAGCCAAAGGTAAGGCTTGGGGAAGATGGCAGAGACGTCATCGGTAGAGAAGCGAATAGTACAGTGTTTCAAAGTATACCCATAGGCCCGAAAGTAGTTCCTTTTTGGGGTTCATAAAATATAGATTCTGTATATGAACCCCAAGAAGGAACTACTTTGGGGCCTATGGGTACTGTATAATAATACATCAGCAACTGGTCTTGTCGACCTGCCCGTAACTTTTTTGAGTGTCAGACTGCTGTTCGTAGTCTGCAAGGCTTGTGGGTGTCGAGTGTCGCAAAGCCACCGTCGCAAGTTGCAGAAGCTCAAGCCCTCAACAGCCTGAAAATCCTGAACGCCAAAGCCCAAGGCCCAACACCCTAAAGGCCCTAAGCCTTAAGCCGGGCTTATCAGCTTTGCAAGGCCAACGACGACTTGCTTGCGCTCTGGCTTCAGCTTGGGCCGAAGCTGCCTTCGCAAAAGCACGCTTGCGCTCTGGCAACAGCGTGCAAGGCATTGCCGCGCTCGCTGGTGAAAAGCCGCATCTGCGTTTCATGGATGCAGCAGCTCGAAGTACTTTCCCAGCAAGATCCGCCCTTCAGATGCAGCCCCAAAGATCTGGAGCAAGCGGTTCAGCAACTGGGGAAACTGTCGTCTGAAGACGGTTCCATGCTGATTGAATATGTCGTAACCTTGTGCGATGCACACATCCAGCCAGAAGCCCTGCTGGAATTTTGACCTGTGTGTGCCTCAACCTCCAATCTGCTGTTCGAAACCGGGCAAAACAAACCCGGACTGCTCCGATGCAGTCTCTGGGTGGCCCGAAGGCTCAAAAGAGCCGCAGGACTTGCTCACATGTTCAGCTTCAGAATCTGTGCGTGGTGCCAGGCGGCATGCTATCAACAGGCCCTGACTGTACAGATACTAATCCCTGTAGGCCTTTTTCTGGCAGCCACCACACACATTCTGCACAGCTTCAGCGTCAAGCTCATGTATAAGCTCATGCTCGAAATTGGGGACAGCAAATTCGGACTGCTCCGATGCAATTTCTGGATGGCCCGAAGGCTCGAAAGAGACGCAGGACTTTCTCCCCGAGCTTCAAAACAGGTGCGTGTGGTGCTAAGCGGCATGGTATGCAAAAACTCCGCCTCTACAAATGCACCAGGCCTCTTCCGAAGCCTCCTTCTAATCTTTGCAGGCTTGTTCTGGCAGCCACCACGCACATTCTGCACGGCTTCACATGTTTTTCATGAAAGAACATGCACGAAGTTTTTCGACTTAAACGTCTTCTGCTCGAAAGCGAGCAAAGCAAATTCGGACTGCTCCGAAGCAATCTTTGTGTTGACCGAAGGCTCCTGCGAGCCAGGACTTGCTCGTGTCGAGTTTCACGTGATATGCATGGTGGCAAGCGGCATGAGTTTTTGCAAAGCATTGCAAAGCTCTGATTCGACACATGCACCAGCCAACAGTTTAGGGTTTAGGGTTTTGCCGGCAGCCACCACGCACATGTTGCATAGCTTCAGCGTCAAGCTCATGCTTCAGCTCATGTTGATGACCTCACGTCTTTATTCTGCCACTGTAAAGCCCGAAGCCCTAAACCTACACGGTCCTAAACCCTACCAGGCTAATTACTTGAGGCGAGGTACTCTTCACTCTCGGGGTCTCTCGGAAAATGTCCTTGCTCAGGAACTGGTGCTTTTACAGGGGCCTGTCACGGCCTGTCTGACACTTGTTTCCGTGCGCTCAGGCGGGGCCAGGCATAGATTTCAAGGAGCTGTTGCTTTGGCATGTTCGCATGGTAATGTTGTGCTATCGTGATAGCACCGTCTGCTTTCAGATCTGCAAGGTCTCCATGCTAAGAAAATGTACAGCCTGCGAATCGCCGAGCTGTGCGGCGTGGATTCGGACTTCCACAGGCCTGCGCTGCATGTCAAGAGCAAGAATGACATGATCTTCGTTTTTGCCGTCTAGCCGCACGACAGCTGAAAGCAACAAACTAAGAAACATAACCAGGAATCTTTCTTTTGTCGAATCCGTCAGATCCTCGAGCCGTCAGAAACGGCAGCTCCGCAATCATAGAACTGACTCGTCGGAGGCACACGCAGGTAATGTAGGGGCCTAAGTAATTGGTAGCGGGCACACAGGGCGCCACGCCTTGAAGGATGGTGCCTTCAAGCTCCACCCGGTCGGGACGACTTCATGCGCTTTTAGAGTATCTTGACAGCGTCCGGCCGTCGCATATCCTCTCGAGCATGCCGGCCATGGCACATTCCTGTAACAATGATGATTATGATATTGATCATGTTGATGATGACGAATATGATGAACACATTTTGGTGGAAATCCTAATGACGGTAAAAATGATGTTGTTGGAGACAATGATGACGGTCGTCGTGAGGATGGAGTAACGATGATGATTATGATCTTGATCATAATGATGACGACGAATATGATGGAAAAACGAGGATAATAATACTAATGACGGTGAAAATGATGCCGTTATCAACAATGCTGAGCAGGATTAACATTATAATGATGCTGATGTTGATGATAAAGACGGTGATGATGCTGATGATATAGCTAATCGTAAAAACGCAATTAGTTCTCGTGATGTCGTACTTAGAAATCATGCTAAAACCCCAGTCTCGCGCACATTCTAAGTACGAACTCAGCGTGGCGCCCTATGCGCCCGCACCCTAATAATTACCATATTATTTTGGGGGTTCCTTGTTATAGTTGTACCATAATGGGCCCCAAAACAATGTTACAATTATCAGCCCCTATCTTATCAACACAAAGGTCGGAGGTCTGCGTGCTGCGGACCGCCTTGGCTTGGGCTTGAATCGATGAGAATTCCTTGAGAGACCCTACCAGTACGAACCCGGAAGCCCAAAAGCCCGAAACTCAGCCCGCACCCCAAAAGCGCTAAACTCCAAAGTTAGGCGCCCTAAACCCCTAAACCCTAAACTCCAAATCCTAAACCCCTAAACCTTGAACCCCTAAGCCTTAAACCCCTAAACCCACAGCCTAAACCCTTAACCGCAAACCATGGTCGCAAGCTGGACGCATGCCAGAGCCGCTGTCTTTGCTGGAGCTCCTTACAGGCGAGATGCTTGGTGTCGATGGATTTCGGTTTTGGGTGTAGGGGTTTTGGGGTCCACATGTTTACGGGTTTAGGGGTTTCGGGTTTAGGGTTTAGGGTTCAGCATTATAGTAAAGTTGTATCTACGGTGTTGATGATATAACACCCACCCACCCACAGAATCCCAGAGCACTAAGAAACGGTTCATGAAACAATATAAGTTTTTATTCAAAACTGACATTTCCATCTTCGTTCGGTGTACTAGCTTAGGATTCGGACTAATGACTAATGTTGTAGGGTAAGGTTCGTACCGCTATTGAAGGGTTCAGACTCCAGGCTACTATTTTGGGGTGTCTGCTGCTATGTTGGGTTCGGACTATTATTTTAGGATTCGGACTACTGTTTTAGGGTTCGTACTGGTGTTCTAGGATTCGGATTCGGATTTTTTTAAGGCTCGGACTATTACTTTAGGATTCGGGCTGCTACTGTATTTTCGGGTTCGGGCTACTATTTTTGGGTTCGGACTGGTTTTTTAGGGTTCGGACTGCTGTTTTAGGATTCGGGCTACTATGTCAGGGATCGGACAATTATTTTCGGCTTCGGACTACTACTTTGGTCGTGCAGCTTCGGACTACTGTTTTGAGGTTCAGACTAGTAATGTTGTTTTGAGATTCGGTCTGTTTTTTGGCATTCGGACTATTCCTTTAGGGTTGGGGCAATTATTTTAGGATTCGGACTACTATCTTAGGATTCGAGCCCTTTTTTAGGATTCAGACTATTGTTTTAGGGTTCAGACTATTGTTCTAATATTTGGACTACTATTTTAGGGTTCGGCGACTCATTGGCCAATGCCTGCGAATAATGTGCCACTGGCGGCAAATTATTGGCCAAGGCCGGCGAACTTTTGGCCCGCAGCCGACGTATTATTCGCCAATGCCTTCGAATTATTGGCCAATGCCGGCGAAGCCCCTTCGCCGGCATTGGCCAGTAATTCGCCAGCCAAGACCGATATTCGTCGGCATTGGCCAATTGGCCGGGGCCGGCGAATTATTCGCTGAGGCCGGCGAATTATTGGCCAAGGCCGGCGAATTAAGGTTTAAATTATAATGTGAAAGAGAGGTTTAGGGGTTCAGGGTTGAAGGTTCAGCAGCTCCGAATCAAGCAGTCTCCAGTCGAGCTCAGCTCCGGAAGTCATCGCACGCACCCAGGATCTCCGTACCAGTCCCATTGTACTATTATTGAACATTGACGCTGAAATCCTAAACCCTACACTGGTCCTAAACCCTCAGCCTGAAAACCCGAGGCCCTCAACCCTAAGCCCCACCCTAAACCGCAAACCCGAAGCCCCAAAACCCGAGGGCCCTAAACAGAACCCCAAAACTCTAAGCTCTAAACCCCAAGCCCCAAAACCATAGGCCTTAAACCCTAAGCCCAAAAAGCCGAGGCCTTAAATCCTAGGTCCTAAGCCGTAAAACCCTGAGGCCTAAGCCCTAAACCCTGAGCCCCAAAGCCCTACCCTGTAAACACTAAGCCCCCAATCCCTGAAGCCTACTTGGAGGATCATGGGCCTTGGTAAGTAGGGTTACAAGTACCTTAGTTGGGGTTATACGTAAATATAAGTACAGTTACCTTAAGTAAAACCCTAGTTACTAAGTCCCATGATCCTTTAAGTAGACCCTAAGGTCCAAAACGCGAGGCCCTAATCCTGGAAATTGCGGTTTCATCGGACTCGCCATTTTTCCACCGAAGCCAGGCATTCGTTGGAACATTGCGGTTCCCCCGAAACCACCGACATCGCAATTTTTCAACGGGGCATTCATTGCAAAATTGCAATTCCATTGAACACGCCGAAATCGCAGTTTTTCCCATGAATGCCCGGCTTCGTGGAAAATTGCGTTGGCGGAATCTGCAAATTCCAACGAAGAAATCGCCAGATTCCAACGAAGGGCCGGCTTCCTTCGTTGGAACTTGACAAAACAAGCCCGAAGCGAATCAATTAAGGTGTAAAATCATATGATTTAGAGTTTAGGGGCATATCCCCAGCTGCTACCCGGAGTTTAGGATTTCGGCCTTAAGGGATTGAGGCTTTGTGGTTGAGGGCTTAGAGGTGAAATTCATTGATGGTTTGTCGACAGCAACAGGCTCATACAAAGGCTGGGCAAGAATACAGGCAACTTGTTTGGAGTCTTGTTGGATGTAGTATGCCGCTCCATATCCTCTGTTTCCACTCCGCCGTAGTGCTTCAACCGTCCCAAACCCGAAACACTAAATTGTGGGCTACTGAGGCCACTGACACTTAAGCACAGAAGGGAAACTGATGGCACGGTACTTGACTGAGAATGCTCCGTTCCGAACATCCAGAGTGCGGCAAACAGGATGTCTCTTTGAAGTTCTTCGTACACTTCATGTAGATACTCTGCGTTTTCTGCCTTTTCGGACTCTTTCACAGGAGCCGCTGTGCCACCTGCAGCGCCACGCACCGCTTGTGTGTCAGACGAGGCTTGTGACTTCAATCGCTCAGGGTTGAGGAAATTTTAGGATTTGGGTTCGAGGGTTCTCATGCGGCTCTTGCTGGGCGGAAATATGACCTGACACTCCTCTGAAACCTTACGCCAGACCCCGAGCACCACTGGCATATGAAACGCCGCGGGTCAGCCAGGCAGAGCACCACCCACTTCCCAAAACCGATCCCCGTAGCCCTTGAGAGCCCAACACAGTTAGATGCTACAACTTCCGTGCAACTCTGCCTGTGTGCCCCTGTTGTTACTGTGAAGACGGCTGGCCCATGAGCTTTTTATTGCAAGCCTTGTCGTCGGGTGCATGTACAGTCAATGTCGATCATTGTCGCATCTCTTTTGTTGTCACCTTCCTCTTTGCTATCCCAACCCCGTAGGCCTAACCGACGCATCTAGTAGTCGTATCGTGACCAGCACGGAAGGCTTTTCTCCATTCGCATTGCTGCTGCAGCAGCTGCTGCTGCTATTCTGTTGCTGCTACTTGAAGCCGTGCTGTTGCAACACCTCGCAATGGTTCGACATTGAATGTGTCTCTGTAAATACGATCGTCAGCGTTGTTGTTGTTGTTGTTGTTGCCGCTGCAGCTGCCGTTATTCTGCTGTTGTGGATATTGCTGCTGTTGGTGCTGCTGCAGCTGGTGAATTTTGCTGTTGCTGTTGGTGACGATGTTGCTGTTGCTGTCGCTGTTGTTGTTGTTGCTGCTGGTGCTGTTGTTGTTTCTGCTGTTGCTGTGTCGGTTGCTAGTTAGTGCCATGCTGTGTTGGGTATGTCTACCGTTTTGGTCTAACAACTAATGTTTTTGTTATTGCATTTCTCGGCATAGTTCAATGACAGTTAGTCTCACCATGGCTGCATAAGCATTCTAAATTCTAAGACTTCCAGAAAGTGCAGGACGCTGATATCCACTCTAAACCGTAACATCCGTATGAGAAAAACCAGACGTGATTCTGTCGTTTCGGAAACCCCGAACCCCAAGCTCCCTCGCTCACCCATCGCACCCCCCTAAACCCTAAGCCTACAGTGTGCTCCCAAATTGAGCGAAAGGCGCTGTGGCTACTTTGTGCAACAACGCCTTAGACCTCAATCCCCAAATCCGACACCCCAACCCTTAACCATAAACCCAAACTTGAAAACTCAAAACTCGTACAACGCCCTTCTACAGCCCGTCTACAGCACTTCTCGAACCTGCCAAGAAATGCCAAACATCAAGAAACGCCAGAAAGTTGGCACATCATCATCGCCATGCCCGTGAGGCAAAGTAGAAGGAATCCTAGCGCTAATCATCCTGTATCCATGTTCGAACCTTCTGGGTTTCACTGAATTTGTGGGAAAGAAAGAATTGAGGCGCTGACCCTTCGCTTCCTATCTTCGCCGGCAGAATTCGGTGTCGATCCCGGATTTAATGAGGGTGGTTTTGGGTTTGAGGCGGCTGTAAGGTGTAAGTGTATATCAGGGTTCAGGGTCTAGGGTTTAAGTTTACATGGGTTTTGAGATGAGGGCTTAAGGTGGTGGTGAGGTGTGAGTTTGAGTAGGTGTTTCGGGTCTTTGGTTCAGGGTGGTAACAAAGTGAGTTTGGGAGTTTTGGGTTTCGGGTTAGGGCTTAAGGTGTGGTTGTAAGGTGCGCGCTTAAGTTTGTGTAGGTGTTTTGGAGATTGCAGGTTTACGTCTGCGCGAGGTTTAATTTCAGTGTTGCGTTTTATGGGTTGAAGGTTGCGGTTTAGAGTTTAGGGTTTAGGGTTTAGGGTTTAGGGTTTAGGGGGGGGGATACACAACCCGCATCCGTCCATCCATCCGTACGTCCGTCCGTCCGTCCATCCATCCATCCATCCATGTATCCATCCAATCCTGTGCATGCATCATTCATGCATACGTGGTTTGTATATATGTATGTATACAATATGTACATACATGCGTACATACATGTGCACATTCACATACATACGTAATAGATACATGCAGTCATTAGAGCTGTCATACATGCATTCATACATACATGTTCGCGTCTTGTGCCTTGGTTCTTATTCCTGCATCCACCCACCCAGAATGTGGTGGCAGGAGTAGGAGAAAGAGTAGGAGTAGTAGTAGGAGTGAGAGTCGGGGTAGGGGCAGGTGTAGGGGTAGGGGTAGGGGTAGGGGTAGGGGTAGGAGTAGTAGGAGCAGGAGTAGCAGTCGGAGAGCAGGAGTGAGAGTGAGAGCGGCAGTGACAGTACTTGTTGATAGTAGTATCGCTGTTCATAGTGTGCATCTGCATATATATATATATATAGTTGGGATATACTTATATACACATGTCTCGAGAGCAGTCACTGTTAGCAACGTCCCGAAGCACAACCAGCATTTCTGAGTTCCATGAACGACATTGACCAAATGGTTGCTAGCAAGAGTACCCATAACAATGGTATACTAAACCCTAAACGCATAAACCCTAAACCCCAAAACCCTAAACGGCCTAAACCCTAAACCCTAACCCTAAACCCTAAAACCCTAACCCTAAGCCCTAAACCCTAACCCTAAGCCCTAAACCCTAAACCCTAACCCTAAGCCCTAAACCCTAACCCTAAGCCCTAAACCCTAAACCCTAAGCCCTAAGCCCTAAACCTAAGCCCTAAACCCTAACCCTAAGCCCTAAACCCTAAACCCTAAACCCTAAGCCCTAAACCCTAAACCCTAAGCCCTAAACCTGAAGCCCGGAGGTCGAATCCTTGAACCGCCAGCCCGAGAACCAAAGGCCTGCAACCCAATGCCCCAAACCCTCTTACTATAGGGGCCTTACCTGGACCCTAAGGAAGCTACCTTTTTAGGGTTCCTTAGTATGATTTCTTTATATAAGTCCTTAAAAAGGTAGGTCACGTGGGGTTAAGGTAATAATAACCTATACTTTGGGTGTTCCTGATTACAATAATTGTGATAGTTATTATGCTATAATTGAATTATAGTATAATGGGCCCCAAGTCTGTATTCTAATGATTATGGCCCCTCTTTTGAAGCCCCGAACCCCGCAGCCCCAGCAAAGAGCGCGAAGCAACCCTAAAGCCTACACTGGAACCACAAGCCTTAAAGCCAAATCCTCAAACCCTCAAGCTCACTGCGTACACCCTCTAGCTTCCCGGCGACACTCGACAGAAACCCTGAAGCCTACCCCCTAAACCCTAAGCCCGAATACCCTAAACCCAGAAATCCAGAAACCCAATCCTTGTATAAAACCTAAAAACCCGGAACGCCGAGGTCGGAAGTGGACTTTACTGGAGCCAGACGCCTCCACGATTCCCGAGGCAGAGGAACGGTTACTCACATAATCTGGGAGTTCGAGGTTAAGGGTTTAGGGTTTAGGTTTTTCAGTGTAGAATTCAGAAGCTTGAGTAATTAGTAGTAGTATTTCGTGGAGTTACTTTTCTTTGATAGTATCAGATATTCCACAACCCTCTTCAAATCCTCTCGGCCCGTGCATTACCCAGACGGGTAGCCTACTTGCAAAGAACCAGTGTAGTTAGAGATCGCTTAAGACTGCAAGTTTTAGTAGTACTAGGCAGGCCGATGTCGTATTCTCTTGTTTTCTTGGCCTCTCGGGGATCTGAACGAACATTTTCCAGACGGTTTAAAGGGCCAATCTGGGGGCATGTGTTTGTGGTAGTCGTATCTCGCAATGTTTAAGCTGATCATTCAAGAAACGTAGCAGTACTATTACAGCGCAACCACCATGATGACTGTCGCTTGTCATCGTTGCTTTTGCTGCTACTTTTCATTAATCAATTAATCTGCTTGTTATTACAGGCATGTCTGCAAACTGTATCACTATTGCTACTGTTGGTACCGTTCCTATTAACCAATGTTTATTGGTGGCTATGTTGAAGCTATCAGCTGGTCTCTGAATCAGCTTATACTCAGTTGGGCTTCGTGTTTCTTTAGGTGGCGATTTCTTCAAGGGTTGGGGTTCATGGTGTTTTAGTTGGGCCTTGGCTTTCTACATGAGCGTTTGGGCTCGCGTCCTGGGGGCGTTTACTGTAGGGACTGTAGGGAGCGAAGTGGCCTGCCGAAAGCTAGCAACTGTTTAGGGTTTAGGGTTGGACTCGAACCACCCCCCCAAACAACCAACACCCCAACCTGACTGATGGGCTAGAGTTTGGGCTTGAAGCCAACTGCATGCACCAACCCATCACTTAGAGAAGACCTCGCAGAATCCTTACAGCTGCCTTTATAGCAACCAATGCACTGTACACGTCCTTGGCAGAAACTCTAAACCCCTAAACCCTAAACGGCCTAAACCCTAAACGGCCTAAACCCTAAACCCTAACCCTAAGCCCTAAACCCTAACCCTAAGCCCTAAGCCCTAAACCCTAAACCGTCTAGTAAAGCTTTTCTTGAACCTTCTCATCCACATGGAATTGGAAGCCTTTGAAGTCCAAGCCTTGAGCCCAAATCCGAACCTCAACCTATACCCAGGCCTTAAAATCCCTATGGTAGAAGCCAGAAAGCTGGAGCATTAGTATCCTCATGCCCTTAAGGTAAAGGATAAGGGATCCTAGCAGCAATCCTCCTAAACCCATGTTTCAACTTTCTGGCTTCTACTGTGAGCCTAAACTCACACATAAAAACCATGAAATGCAGGGCCGGCCTTGGCCGAAGCCGGCGCTGTGGGCGCCCGGAGGAGGACGACGCCGGAGGTTCACCAGCGAAAGGAAAGGGTTCAGGGATTAGGGATTAGGGTTTAGGGTTTAGGATCGAGGGATTTGGGCGCTCGGCTAGAAGCTAGGGGCTTGCTCTCTCGTGTGTGGAGTGCAGGATTTATCTTGTTGGTTCTGCAGGCCTGCGCATTTCAAGTGACGTCGTTAACACTCTTCAGCATGATTCAGTCGTAGCATCTGTAAGCAGCAGTCCTTCGGCAATATAGGAGCCGAAAACTAGTTTGGGGGTTCCTAATTATAACTATAGTAGAATGGGCCTTCAAATCCATTCTAAATGTTACGGCTCCTGCGTTATGTGCCCTAGCCCTAATTAAACCTTAAGTCCTAAACCTTGAATCCTCGACCATACACCGTAGCCCTGACCCTGAATCCCCTGACCCGACAGCACCGACCCATAACCCTACTTGGAGCATCGGCTGAGTTGGTAAGAAGGGTTATAGGTAAGTTCTTCATTGCTAAGGGCAGCGTTGTATCGAAGCCGTGTATACTAAGCTCTTGTGGTAAAGTTCTTCATGCAAAGAGTTATCGTGAACATGACTTTGGACCGTACACTCTGCAACCGCGACCCTCAATACCCTGACCTTGTCGGTTTGGGGGTGAACCTAAGGGAGACTAGTTGGGCTGGTTGGAGAGGGATTACATGCTGACGCAGGCGCGCGAAAGTATACTTTGAACACCCTAAACCCCAAACCCCAAACCGTCCCGAACCATGAACCTCAAAGAGGCGTTGCCAGCGAGAAGCGCTTTCCCCGAATTTGGCCAAGGCGAAGCGCTACTATAGTACGACTAGTACTACTAGTACTACTAGTACTACAAATACTACTAGTACTGCTGGTAGTACCAGTACTAGTAGTACTACCAGTACTACAAGTGGTAGGGTCGGGGTAGGGGTAGGGTAGGTTAGGGTAGGGTAGGGGTAGGGTAGGGGTACTGCCACTACTACTAGTACAACTAGTACTGCTGGTACTTCTGGTACTAGGACTACTAGTATTACTAGTATTACTAGTATTACTAGTACTACTAGTACTACTAGTACTAGCAGTAGTAGTAGTAGTAGTAGTAGTAGTAGTAGTAGTACTACTACCACCACCACTGCTACTGCTACTGCTACTGCTACTGCTACCGGTACTAGTAGTACTACTACCACTAGTATCACTGCCGCTACCACTAGTATCACTACCACTACCACTACCACTACTTGGCTTGCGCGCCTCCTGGCGCCTGGTAGTTTGCAGGTGTTAGAGGGTCAAAAGTAACGGCTGCTGCTCAAGCTCGCTTTTTGCTTCTGCTCAAGCTCGTTTTGGCTTCTGCTCAAGCTCGTTTTGTGGTTCTGCTCAAGCTCGTTTTTGGCTGCTGCTCAAGCTCGTTTTTGACTCCTGCTCAAGCTCGTTTTGTGGTTCTGCTCAAGCTCGTTTTGTGGTTCTGCTCAAGCTCGTTTTTGCATCTGCTCAAGCTCGTTTTTGACTCCTGCTCAAGCTCGTTTTGGCTTCTGCTCAAGCTCGTTTTTGGCTGCTGCTCAAGCTCGTTTTGGCTGCTGCTCAAGCTCGTTTTTGCTTCTGCTCAAGCTCGTTTGTGCTTCTGCTCAAGCTCGTTTGTGCTTCTGCTCAAGCTCGTTTTGGCTTCTGCTCAAGCTCGTTTTGGCTTCTGCTCAAGCTCGCTTTTGCTTCTGCTCAAGCTCGTTTTTGGCTGCTGCTCAAGCTCGTTTTTGCTTCTGCTCAAGCTCGTTCTTGCTTCTGCTCAAGCTCGTTTTTACATCTGCTCAAGCTCGTTTTTGGCTCTACTCCAGCTCTGCTCGTTTTTGCTTCTGCTCAAGCTCGTTTGTGCTTCTGCTCAAGCTCGTTTTTGCTTCTGCTCAAGCTCGTTTTGGCTGCTGCTCAAGCTCGTTTTTGGCTTCTGCTCAAGCTCGTTTTGTGGTTCTGCTCAAGCTCGTTTTTGCATCTGCTCAAGCTCGTTTTTGTGGTTCTGCTCAAGCTCGTTTTGGCTTCTGCTCAAGCTCGTTTTTGGCTTCTGCTCAAGCTCGTTTTTGCTTCTGCTCAAGCTCGTTCTTGCTTCTGCTCAAGCTCGTTTGTGCTTCTGCTCAAGCTCGTTTTGGCTTCTGCTCAAGCTCGTTTTGTGGTTCTGCTCAAGCTCGTTTTTGCATCTGCTCAAGCTCGTTTTTGACTCCTGCTCAAGCTCGTTTTTGCTTCTGCTCAAGCTCGTTTTTGGCTGCTGCTCAAGCTCGTTTTTGCATCTGCTCAAGCTCGTTTTTGGCTCTGCTCCAGCTCTGCTCGTTTTTGCTTCTGCTCAAGCTCGTTTGTGCTTCTGCTCAAGCTCGTTTTTGCTTCTGCTCAAGCTCGTTTTGGCTGCTGCTCAAGCTCGTTTTTGGCTTCTGCTCAAGCTCGTTTTGTGGTTCTGCTCAAGCTCGTTTTTGCATCTGCTCAAGCTCGTTTGTGCTTCTGCTCAAGCTCGTTTTGTGGTTCTGCTCAAGCTCGCTTCTGCTTCTGCTCAAGCTCGTTTGTGCTTCTGCTCAAGCTCGTTTTTGGCTCTGCTGCAGCTCTGCTCGTTGTTGCTTCTGCTCAAGCTCGTTTGTGCTTCTGCTCAAGCTCGTTTTTGCTTCTGCTCAAGCTCGTTTGTGCTTCTGCTCAAGCTCGTTTGTGCTTCTGCTCAAGCTCGCTTCTGCTTCTGCTCAAGCTCGTTTGTGCTTCTGCTCAAGCTCGCTTTTGCTTCTGCTCAAGCTCGTTTTTGGCTCTGCTCCAGCTCTGCTCGTTTTTGCTTCTGCTCAAGCTCGTTTGTGCTTCTGCTCAAGCTCGCTTCTGCTTCTGCTCAAGCTCGTTTGTGCTTCTGCTCAAGCTCGTTTGTGCTTCTGCTCAAGCTCGGTTTGGCTTCTGCTCAAGCTCGTTTTGTGCTTCTGCTCAAGCTCGCTTCTGCTTTGATTTCCTTAATAATTACGCTTTTGGATGACGATGATGATGCTAGTGATGATCATGATGATGAAGATGAAGATGCTGAGAATGACATCGATGTGCATGTTATTGGAAGCCACTAGTAGGACTGAGGACTACGGCCACTCGTGCTACTACTAGGCCTACTACACTGCTGCAGAACGACTCGTGCCTTCATTGCAGCAGTTCACGTCTTCCGTTGTTGCTGGCACTTTTGTTCAAGGCAACTTTCTTTGGCACGGTTGCTGTCCTTAGCAACATAGTCGGTGCGTAGATGTCCGCTGAGATGGTGCAGGTGGAGCCCTGCCCCGCCTGGTACTAGTACCTAGTAGTACTGTAGTAGTGCTACTATTAGCGCCACTGGTACTGGACTGCTACTGCCGCTGCTGCACTATTAGTGCCACTGGTGCTGGTACTGCTACTGCTACTGCCACTGCCACTGCCACTGCTACTGCTACTGCCAACACACGAAAATCGAGCCACTGTGCGGGCCCCCCCCTCACGACCCCCCCGCACCAGTGGAAGAAAATCCTTCGAAAACACACGAAAATCGAGCCACACCGTGGGGATTGCGAAACCGGCAAAAATTGCGGTGAAGCATGTCGTGATTGACACCCCCACCATGCCCTCCCCTCCCAGTCGAACAAAAGCCCCCGTAAAACGCTCCAAAGTACCGGCACTGCCAGTGTTTTTGGCAACAAGAAGACCATTGCGGTCGACCATGTCGTTACTAACCCCCCCACCCACCCACCCACCCAAAACCTCCCAGAAACGCTTGAAAACAGAGGAAAACACCAGGCGCCAGGAGGCGCGCGTGGCTACTACTACTACTACTACTACTACTACTACTACTACTACCACGTGCTACTACTACCGCTGCCGCCACAACTCTCATATGTGCCTCGAACCTGAAATGCAGGGTTGGGATTGCGGCTTTCCTGACCCCGCAAGGCTTTTTTTCAAGCTTTCGCTGTCGTTTAGGGGATTTGGGGTTCTGCTGTAGCATGCCCGAGGTTCCTCAACCCAGAGCCCCTGCACTTTAACGGTCTCATACAAAAGGCAGGCGGACAAAGGCATTCAAAAGATATCATCAAACTTTAAAAACCCAAAACCTTAAAAAGTTTTGCGCCTTCGACCCCAGTCCCAGCTGCGAAACCCCCAATCTTAAATTTGGAAACCAACCCACCAAAGTTGGCTGGAACGACTTCGCCGGGAGGTCTTTCAGACGCGCCTCTTTCCCTTTGAAATCGGAAGCTTGCGCAATGCTTCCTGGCTTAAGGTTCATGGATCTCAGAAATTTTAAGGTAATGGGTTGTCAGTGCTTAGCATTTGGGATTAAAGGTCAGGGCTATTTATGTAGTGGACAGTAGTGGACCCTAAATTCAGAACCTCTAAACGGCAGCACGTACACGTGAAGCCCCACCCGCTTGCCCTGTACTTACAAGAATCTCGAAACTCCACCAAAACCGCGCCCTGTGCTGCTCCGTTTCACCAAGAACGACCCCGCGCGTCACCCTCTCGATATTGGTAACACTTGCAAAGAGCACAGGAACAAAATTTTAAAAAGAATCACAACAGTAAGTACCCCAACCCCCAACCCCAAGCCCTGAGCCCTAAATGGTCAATGCTTTTGCAAAAGAGGTTTCTAAACACTGGTGACAAACTGCAGTTCGCAACTAGCAATAGTGGGTTTTCAAAGTCGATCTGGCAGTTTCCGAAACAGGGGTGCCTTATTTTGGGGTCCTTCTAAAAAGGATCCTACTATTTACGGTACTATACTAGGGCCCCATATTTTCGGAAACTCCCATCTCAGGTGCTCTTGGACCATCTCGAGCGGATCTTCGACCTCGGCCCCAAGCCTCAGCGAAGTGTTTGGGGTTCAGGGTTTTATCGCTGCTTTTTGCGAGTAGTAGCTTTGGGCTTTTGGGTTTTATGGTTTAGGGTTTGGGGTTTCGGAGTTTCACATCTGACATCTTAGGTTTTTGGTTTGCAGCGTTTGGGCCTTGGGCTTTGCGGACGAAAGCTTCGGTCATACCGTATGAAGAATGTGTGTGTGGGCGGGTGGGTCTTTGGGTTCACCATTTGAAGTTTCAGGCTTGTCCCGCTTTACGCGGGACTTCGCATGGTAGTATGCAAACGGTTGGAGCCAACTCCGAACCCTAAACGCTACACCCCAAACCATAAACCCCAAGCCCTAAACTCGAAGTGAGGAAATTTCAAAACCTGCTGCCCAAATCCTACCCGGCCTTACCGTCCCCGGCCTCTGAAGCCTCACTCTCTTACCCCTACTTAAAGGATCATGGGACTTAGTAACTGAGGTTATAATTAAGGTAACTATACTTATAACTGCTTATAACCCCAATTAGGGTACTTATAACCTTACTTACTAAGTCCCATGATCCTCCAAGTAAGCTCCAAACCCTAAACCCTAAGCCTGTAAACCCTTCAACCCGGGCTTGAAAGGACGAGTTTACCACGACTTCTATGCTGGCACGCTGAAAGAGCTACTGGGTGCAGTTCGGGCACGCTGTAAGTGGTTTAGGGTTTAGGGGTTAGGTCTTCGGGAGTTTCAGAGCTGGATGAGGTTTTCCATGGAAGTTGATGTCTAGTCTGCGTAGAGCTGTTGAAGCAGTAGTACTCCCTCTCCCTTCGGTCCCCAGGTCGGTATACCAGTAGCCGACAACGACCCCAAGCCCAAGTTTTCTTGGAACATCTTTACTGAGGCTTCTATATCAAAATATGTATGAAGCCTGAATACAAGCGAAAGCCATTGTTCTAATTCATGAGGCCACCATATCACTATAAAGCTTGTGGGAGCCCGGTGCTCTACTCATTAGGGCCTTCATCTTACCTTGGGTTAGTAGGGAATGGAGGAATGGGGTACAACTATAACTACTATTTCTACCATTCTTCCATTCCCTACTAGCCAAAGGTAAGTCATATTTCAAGTATGTCTTGGTTCCCAGTTCTTGGGGATCGTGACGGGTTGAAGGTTGGGGCTTAGGCAGGGCTGCTTAGGGTTTGGGGGTTCAAGGGCTTAGGGTGTTTGCGTTTAGGATTTAGGGTTTAAAGTTCATGGTCTAGGGTTTAGGATTTGGGGCCTCAACCCGTTTTTATCGCCACAGGATTGAGAGAATCTCGATGGCAGGGCTGAGACGGAGTATAGAGTCTGGAGCTGCGCGGAGTCTGGAACTGCGTGCCCCCGCCTGAATAACTACCAACACTATTTCCCAGGGTTCCTCTACTTGGAGGATCATGGGACTTAGTAAGTAAGGTTATAAGTACCCTAATTGGGGTTATAAGCAGTTATAAGTATAGTTACCTTAATTATAATTAGTTACTAAGTCCCATGATCCTTTAAGTAGTCATTGAGGCTTTTGCATTAGCCCCTGACCCCACCCCCCTCGAGCCAAAGCCCTGAACCCTAAACCCTCCACCCCTAAATCCCAAGCCTTGACCCTAAACCACAACGGTACGCCTGAACCCCAATGGTAAAGCTGAAACTCTTCACCGGCAGCACACCTTAAACCCTTACAGAATAGTTGGTACTGAGCCATAAGCCGTCCGTGGAGGAGAGAAGAAAATGAATACTTAGAAAAGGGCTTCAAGGTTTATCATGGTCTCATTATATAGCATTTGTAAGGGAGTAAAGGGGTGGTTGTCAATATTAGGATCCCTTTTTCGGGTCCCTATTATCATACGGCACCTAATAGTTAAAATTTAGGGTACCCAAAACGGCGCCCTAACATAGACAGGGACCCTAGTCTTGACGGCTACCCATTTCAACAACTATATGGGAATTTCCAAAAATTAAGGGTACCTTCTTTGGGGATCCTTATCATAAGGATCTAATCTTCTGGGTTCTATATTAGGGTCCCCTATTTTTGGAAGCCCCCTTTTGGGAAGACTAGTCGAGTACCGGGTACGCTTGTCGACCCTGGAGTCTACCGCTTTTGACATTTGGGAGTTTCCGAAAATAGGGGACCCAAGTATAGTACCCTAAATAGTAGGATCCTGATCATAAGGACCCAAAATAAGGTACCCCCAATTTCGGAAACTCCCATTTGGCGCCCATTAAGCAAGTTGAACCTCGTCAGGTTTTAGGGTTTAGGGTTTAGGGCTCGAGCCCTGGCCAGCCATACCCGAAAGCGCTACAATAAAGCCCTTAACCCTAAAACTCTCTAAGGCCTTACACCCAGAAACCCCGACCGCGGTGAAGCCTTAAACACTGGCGGCGAAGCCCTCTAACCTGGGATCCCAAGCCCAAAAACCCGTCAGCTTCCCACAATTACACCGCTTTATTTGTAAAACGAAGAGACAACACCATACGACACTCATAGACTACAACGCCCTGGTGTAATCCTAGTAGAACTCTTATCAAAACGTTAGTTACTACTGCCCCCAAAAAACCCGAAGCTCCTAGAAAACCCTAAACCCTATACTCCAAACATATCCCAAAGCTCCTAAACCCCTAAACCCTAAACCCCTAAACCCCTAAACCTTGAACCCCAAAGCCCCTAAGCCCCAAACAAGCCCCAAACAAGCCCCCAACCCCTAAACCCCTAAACCCCTAAGCCCCTAAACCCCTAAACCCAACAGAGCCTCCAAGGAATGGCGGCCCTTTAGAACTTCGGGCCTCTCTGGTGAAAAAGGTCTCCGAGTTCGTGGGGAAGCTCAGAGGTTTTAATGTAGGGGTCTTAATCAATACCTATACACCTTCCTGGCATACATACCTAGCTACCTACGTACGTTCGTGCGTACGTCATCAACTGCCTACGTACGTACGTATGTATGCACACATACACATGCATGCATACATGCATGCATATTTCCATATGTACATGCATACAACCATACCGTACCGTACCATACCGTACGATACCATGCCCATATCCATATCTAGGCCCATACCCATCGGCAGTTTTGGAGTTTTAGGGAGTTTGGGGGACCACCGAAACCTCACAAACACATACAAACTCTCTGGACTCCCTAAACTCTCTCTCAGGGGAGTCTTAGGAGTTTGGGAGGTTTCCGCGAGGGTGTGTCAACAGGGAGTTTGGAGAGGATGGGGTGTTTTGGGAGAGGGAGTTCGGGGAGTGCAAACTGCCCTAAGCTCTGTAAGCAACCCCTCCAAGCTCTCTCAGGGGATTTCGGAGAGTCTAGGGAGTTTAGGGGGTGTAAGGATATGTACACAACGGATGCGGATACTTCCAGTTAGCGGCGGCAGCACTGCACACCTCCGCTTCGTATAAATTATCCGGGCATGCTTCCTCCGCTTCGTCTTTGACATACCATAGCTGGCTTCAGATCGCAAAACAACGCGCAGCCGGACGAGTCATGTGAGCATCCATGGCCGTGCTTTGCGGATACGTTTCAGGACCTGCTTACCAAGGCGAGACTCTATTTTATAGGGATATCTCTACCTTATTGGGCTTCATTATAAGGGGGTTTATATGGGATGCCCCTATCCTTATGGCTTATGTGCCTCTTTGGGGCCCTAGATACGATGGAAGTTCGGTGGAGCATGCTGAGAAGCACAAAGCATGGTCCAATGGTGCTGCGGGGCCAGCGGGGCCAATCCGATGAAACCCCATAATATGGGGGTCTCAATAATTACCTACCCTATTTTGGTGGGGGGGGGGGGGCTCCTTTCATTCCTTTCATAATTATAGTATAATATGCCCAAGACCCTATTCTAATTATTAAGGCCCCTAATCACAATAGTCTCTGCAGCCCTTCCGAAACCTGGCACAGCCATTGTGGGGCGCTTCCACAAGGCTATATAGAAACCCGAAAGCCTAAACCATATCAAGAAAACACCAAACCTCAAATTCTAAACTCCCGAGGAACCATACACCCTGAACCTTTCACTTAAACCCTATGAAACCCTAAGGTGAACCTTTACAACCCCTACAGCCTAAATCCCAAACCCTAAACCTTAAACCTTGCGAAGGTTCTCAAAAACCCCAAGCCTCGAACCGTAAGCCCTAAGCCTGAAACCTCAAACCTCATGGAATCCCCAAGCCCTAAACTCTAACTCTTACACCGAAACCTCAAACCCTAACCCCGAAGCGTGAACCTTTTAAGAATACAGCAACCCAAAAAAATCCAAACCCTATATACCGAAATCGTTACGCCTTCATAACAAAATAACCTGACCTCTAATTCTTTTTAGCGCCCTTAGAAACGGAAGCCCGAAGCCAGAGCCGGCGGGGAACCCTAAAACCTAAAACCCGTAACCCTGAACCCCAGAAACCTGAACCCTATAACCCATGCGAATGGAAAAGAGGCCACCCAAAAAAAAACCTAAACCCTAAAGCCCAAACTTCAAAAACCATAAAGGCCTTAAGTCCTAAACCCTCAACCCTACCCTAATCCCTAATCCCCAAGCCCTGAACCCCCTTTTTGGAAGAACCCCTTTGAGGCCTTCGGCAACGAAGGGGATCCAGAGGCCCGCAGCTTTCTTGTTTGTCATTTTCTTGTTTAGGGTTTAGGGTTTGGGTTTTACGGTTGGGGTTTCGGATTTAGGGTTTAGGGTTTGGGTTTTAGGGTTTGGGTTTAGGGTTTAGGGTTTAGGGTTTGGGTTTTAGGGTTTAGGATTTAGGGTTTGGGCTTTAGGGTTTGGGTTTAGGGTTTAGGGTTTAGGGTTTGGGCTTTGGGTTTAGGATTTAGGGTTTGGGCTTTAGGGTTGGGGTTTGGGATTTAGGGTTTGGGTTTGTGCTGTGAGGTTTCGGCTTTAGGGTTTGAGTTTAGGGTTCAGGGTTCAGGGTTTCCAACATTCCGCGCACACCACCACGTGAGACGAGTGTCGTGGTGTGCGCCTGGGTTAACCGCTCTGCCCAACCCACCCACCCACATCTCAACACCTTGGGCGGGTTTAGGGTTTTCAAACAGTTGTTGAACCATTGTTGTGTGCAGCTCGCCGCCCGAAGACTTTTCAACCCTCAAGAAGGGCCCGGGCCCTTCGTGAGCAGCCTTGGTGCTGGTGGGGATGCTGTGGTGCAGATGCCCTGGTGGGGTCCCTTTGTGGATGCCCTTTCAGAAAGAAGGACCATGTAAGGCAATGTAAGGGATGCCCTGGTGAAAACCCTGGTGACGCCCTGGTGGCCTGGCCTGATGCCTTGGTAACGCTTGCAAATAGGGCGTAAATGGGAGTATCTCAGCATGGGCCCAAAAGTGGGGGATGCGGGATGCCTCGGTGGGGATGCCCACCCACCTGGGAACCTCAAAGATACAGGCTTCATGGGGAAGGGAGCACTAGTCCCCCATGGCCCTGCACGCCCCACCAGAGCATCCCCACCAGGGGCTCCAGGACAAGAGCCTCCCCAAGAGTATCCCCATCAGCGTCCACGCAGGGCCCCCTTATCTTTGAAGAGGGTTCTTGTGGCAGCCCCTCATTTTTCGGATTTGGGGATGCTTGATGACCCTTTGATGAGGATGCCCAGGCGGGCAAAGGCTCTGATAGTGTGGGCAGGGCATCCCTGGGTCCTCCTCATTAGAGAGTCACAGATAAGGCCCTCGTTGTGAATGCCTTGGAACAAAGAAGGAATTGTGGCTCTGGTGCGGGGATGCCTTAGCGGGGATGCCCTGGTAAAGGCGTGCAGCCCCCAAATAGGGAGTACCCCAGGATGGGCCCCAAAGTGCTTCCTAAATTTTTTGGAAGAGAGTTAAAAGGGTAGAAATGAACCCCTCATGAAACAGATTTCCGGGAGCCCGGATGCCCTGGTTACGGGCAGGCGCTGCTCCCAAATAGGGCTAAATGGGCAAAAGTGCTCCATTCCCAATTAACTGAGAAGAGAATTCAGACGGCAGAAATGACACCCTCCTTTTTCAAATTTCCGGCAGCCCTGGTGGGGATGCCCTGGTAGGGCTTGCAGGGCGTCAGAAGCGCTCCAAATAGGGCTTCACTTCGCCCAAAAGAAAAGTGCTGGATTCCTAATTAATTTAGAAGAGAATTCACAGAAATGACACCGTCATTTTTCAGATTTCGGGCAGCACTGGTGGGGACCTGGTGGGGATGCGCGGCCTGCCGCCCTGGGGCTGCCCTGGCGGAGGCGGGCAACCCTGATTAAATACTTTGGTGGGGATGCCCTGGTGGGGCCTGCAGGGTAAACCAAAAAGGCCCTGAATCCTAAAGCGTAAAGCTAACGGCCTGGAATCCCACACCCTAAACTTTTGAATCCTAAAGCTTGAATTAAAAACACAAGAGGACGCATAGACCTAAGTCTGAAAGTACGAGGTTTGGGGTTAGTCTCTTTAGGGCCAGCCTGTCGCTGGCACGTGGGTTCGACCTTCCACACGTGGGCCGCGCTCACCGCGCGCTCCGGCCCCTCCCCCTCGCAAGGCTCACGCCTGCTCGTTTGGGCTCGTCCGCGAGCCCGTCGCCACGCGGTATCGCTCGCCGCTGGCCAAGGCCGCGCCCGCGGCTCGCTCCAGTTTGGGCTTTGGGTTTAGGAGTTAGGGTTTGGGCTGTAGGATTTATAGGCTTTAGGAGTTAGGGTTTGGTGTTGGGGCTTTAGGGTTCGGGTTTAGGGTTGAGGGTTTGGGCTTTGGGTTTAGGATTTAGGGTTTGGCTTTAGGGATTAATTAGGGTTTAGGATTTAGGGTTTGGGCTTTAGGGTTTGGGCTTGATAGGGTTTGGGTTAAGGGTTTCGGGTGTGCCGACGAACAAACACCTCGCGGGGCGTTCCGGCGACTTTGTACATCTTCCAGGCCACGGTGATTTCACCGTAAGCGAGCCACTCCTGACGACCCGAGGTCGTCTCCCTGTGGATCGTCTGGATGGAGGTCGCCATGCGGCAAGCCGCGGACATGTATGCACAAGACAGACCACAGAAACATGTGTGGCTCGGGCCACTCGGCCGGCGTGCGGACTGACAGGCAGGTTGGTAGTATATCCGACATCATAATTCTTGCCAAGAGACGTGAAGGTCACGAACTCGTTAGTATGGTCAGTGTCCCAAGTTCATTCATGGGTTCTGGATTTCAGAAGCCCTCGGAAGCAGTCTGCTGATGTCCAATATGTGATAGACTTGTCGACTAATCGACAGTCGATGCAAAGAGTGACCGGCCGCGGCGACAAAAACGCTGCATAATATAACTTTCCAGGCTGTGTAGTTTCGCCTTGGCAACTGCATGAAGCCACGAGTCGTTGCGCCGCAGCCGCCGGCAGCAATCGAGTATTGGAGTTCAGTTGTTCAGGTTAGAGGAGGGATATGTCACCCTTGATGCGAGCCATCTTAGTGTTTTTGCCCGTGCTTGTCGCGCCAGCGCCTCGGGGACCTTATCCGACTATGGTTTTCACTGGGGTGACCAAGGTCACAGGGAGGGAAGCACAAATCGGCTCTATCGACTAACCCACGTGTGGGACGGAGCTCTTGGTCTGCACCTACGAGGCCACGGATTCGAAGTTAAAATGTAGTCCGGACCGTGCTATTTAGCTGTTGCTGGGCTACGGTGCCCCAGGCCCCCGCATCGAGGCCGCACGGAAGCATGTAGATCTGATTATTGCAGCGGTGTGCGCATATTACATGGTTGAGGAAGCGGCTGCGGCCGGCAGGCTCGCGAGTCTGGTATCTGACTCCCCGTGCGACACTATTCGTTTGAGCAAGGCCACACTAACAGTGTCCTTGCAAGTGGGATTGGTCGCCGAGGCCACTGCTGCGACAAGCAACGCCGCCGAAAGAGTAACCTTGTTTCAGTTCCACTTCGTCGACGCCATCGCCTCCATCATCGGGAATCAGGCCGCGTGCGGCGACTGCCGGTGAGCTCGAGTTGAGCTCGTTCCATAGCGTGCTGCTGTCGCTTAAGGCCATCGACTGCGGACAACGACATGAGCTCGCCCGATGACGGGGAAAGCTCCGCCGACCGTAGCACAAAGCAACCTAATGAGCGAAGGATTGTGATGTCCTAGGTTTACTGTGGTCCGGAGGTTCAGTCTGGACCGTGCGAAGGAAGGGGAGCAGGCGCGCTGCATCGCCTCCGCAGCCTGCAGCTGTCATTGTCACCTAGTCGAGCAGTCAAGCTTCAAGTCGAGGGTCTGCAGGCCTGGAACGCCGAAACTTGTTGAGATCTCAGTCACAAGCATGCATAAGACGTCACAATGAGCTGCATTCAGAACCAGGTGCACCAAAGAAAGCAGGCGAGCGGAATTAAAGCGCTTACGGCATTGCACTAGTCGCTCGTCGTTGCAAGGCCCACGAAAGATAACTCGGACTGGCAAACGGCACCGGCAAAGTCCGAGCCTCGACAGCCGCGCTTGCTTTATGTAGAGAGTCACGCTCTGAGGAAAGCAGACAAAGAACGCAACGTTCGTCGCTCCGAACAGCGGAAGTGCTCCTGCGTAGGACGTGTGAGAGCCGTCGGCTGCCATTTCGGGGCGACCGCGGCTTGCGGCACCGTGCAATTTCGTCTGTGTTCTGAAGGGCATCTAGAGTACGGTTACCACCAGACACAGGGCTCAGCCATTCAGCGGCTCTTGATCCATACAGTACGGAATGTACATGGCACACTTGCGACGAATGTTCGACACGACACCGTGCAACGTGGTATACCAGCCGGGGTCACTCGTCTAACGCTTCAAGGCGTTAGAGAGGCGTGCCGGTCAGTTTAGGATTAAGGGTTTGGGTTTTGGCTTGAGGGTTTGGGTTTAGGACTTAGGGGTTTAGGATTTAGGGTTTGGGTTTAGGTTTTAGGGTTTGGGCTTTCTATGGTTACTACACGTGTTCTGAAGCGCGTCGGGCTGTAGAAGTTTGGGAGTTAAGGATTTAGGATTTAAGACCAAACAATACGCTTCATCACATAGCGAGGATGTCCTCTAGGGTTCTAGTGAAGATTGCTGATTGAAGGGGTTCTGGCATTTTTTGGTGGCATTGCGGTGGTGGGCTTTGAGGATTTCAGGATTTTAGGTTTCTTGCTTAACGTTTCAAGGGGCCATCGGAAGATCCAGCACTCTGGGGTTCGGTTTTTTGCAGCGCTTTGGGGTTCAAGTCGGGTTATAGAACCTGGTATAGAATTCGACGCTTAGTAAGAGTCTCGGGTTGTTTCATTTGGGCCCAAAGTCCAAGATTGTATTCGCTTAGGCTTCGGGGTTCGGGGTTTTAGGGTTCTTTGAGGTGGCTTTTAAGGCCAAGCCCCACACCTCGCAAGACTCAGTCATTGTTGTCGGCTGCGGTTTCGGATACAGGGTTTACGAATGGGTGCTTCAAAAAAATTGCCAAGCTCCACAACTGCAGCACTGCTGCAGCCGTAAGCTCCATAGTATATGGCATCACCATGACCCTAAACTCTAAACCCTGAGCCCTAAGCCCTAAACGTGAGCCTTACCAGGGCTATGCGTATCCACAGCCTACCGGAGCTGCACCTGCACTTCCCAAGGCGCGCAAGTGAGGGTTCCTATGGGGTTTGGGATGTAGGGGTTTAGGGTGTATAGGGTTTAGGCCTTTCGGGCCGTTTAGGGGTTAGCATGTTTGGTTTAGGCGTTAATTAGGGGTTTAAGTTTAGGTGTTGCATCATTTCATCCACCGATGATCGAAACCTAGACCCTGAAATCCTTGATCCTGAATCCCTTCTCCCTAGACTGCATGCAAACTCTAGACCCTAAAGCTCTGCGGCTTAAACTGTCAACCCCCATGCAAACCAAAGCTCTGGAATGTGAGCCTGCATCTGCGAAGTTTGTGCTGCAGCACCTAGACGGAAACCGACGACGTATGCATCGAATGAGCCTTTAACTGAGCCCGGAACCCTCTTACCCCTGTCCCAAAGGCCGAATCCCTTGCGCAGTTCCTCCTTTCGCAAGGTAGGCTTACGGCAATGCGTTACGACTTAACCCTAAGCTCTAGACCTGTATAGTATTTCTTGTAGTAACCGCGATACCTTTTCGAGAGCCTTATAGGACGCTTTACGGTAACACGCGCAACATTTTCTGCTGTTAGCCGGATAGCAACCTTTATAGTGCCCCTGTTACAAGACCCCTGTATATGTCCCTGCAGGGTGCCATCTCGCCCACGTCTTCGCTAGAGTTGATCGGCACCTCTGAATGTCAACAAAGCTGGTTTTGAGGTCGTGGCGGCAAGGGGTTTACTGTAGAACTTCGGGTGTTAGGATGTGAGGACGTGAGGGTCGGTAGACTGAAGGTTTAAAGATGCCATATGAGGGCGTACACTTTACCACCTAAACCTTAAGGCCGAAAACCCGACAGCCCGAAAGACCTAAAGCCCTAAAATGTTGGTTCTCGGTTCTCTTTGTGTTCAAGATGTCGGCTTGCCTCTGCCAACTACACAGCCAATCCACCCCGCAAACCGAGCATGAGGGCATTATGCGTATTGTTTTCCGGTATGATACCTTTACATCTACAGCCAAGTTGTGGACCAGTAAGTAGTATTGCTAGACACTTTCCTTTGTAACCCCTTATTTGCAGCATGTAAGACACCCCCCGTAAACCTTGACTGTTCAGGCCCCTATAACCATCCCACTCGAGCACGACATTACTCAAGACTCAAGAAGCCTCTGTCCCAACAGCATGGTCTGCGGAACTTTCTCCAGACCCTCGCCAAATCATCCAAGGACCTGGGCACCTAAACCCAAAACCCACCGAAGGATATGGGCACCTTCTTAAGCCCCAAAGCCCAAAGCCCTAAGCCTACTTATTGGGAAGGATACGTCTGCTTTCTCGAAGCCTAGGCCCTTAGCAAGCTCAGTTCAGGGAAGCCCTGAACTCAGAAGTATCAGCCTTCAGAGTGTTTGTAGGATTGCCGCTTGGGTTTAGGGGTTTAGGTCTGGTGTTCCTTAACCTCCCAAAACCTACTTTTTTTGTAGGGTCCCTATATTATCCATATTAGGGTTTATAGTAAGAACCTACAAAAAAGTAGGGTTTGGTAGTTTAAGGTTTAGGTTTTGGATCAAGATCCCCGCCCCCTGCGTACACTCAGGTAACTTCTTCTACCATGCGCACAGTCTGGAGCAGTGCCCTCCGCCACCAACATGTGCAAAAGACTCTAACCAGGTGGCAGAGGGAATGGGGTTTAGGGTTTAGGGTTTAGGTTTGGGGTTTAGGCTTTAGGGCTTGGGGTTGGTCACCATGTGATGGGGTTGTTCTAGCTTGGATGTTTTGTTCCGCAGTGTGCCAAAAGGGATTACTGCATTGTGGATGTTTAGCAAATATCCTAAACCATAAACCCTAAACCATAAAACCCTAATCAACAAGTTTAGGGGACTTCAGCAAAGATAGGGGGTTTCTTCTTACGTTTTGCTCAGGATGACGACACTTTCGCTCGGCACACGGCCTTCGCCCCCCCCGCCCAGGCCCCCCACCCCCCCTGCCAGGGTCGGCGGATTCAGATCTTATGGTGTCTGACACTCCTGCTGACCCCGGAAATCCAAAGCCAGAAGCTGAGCCCCCGTCACCCACGCTGAGCCCCAAAGCCTAAAAAAGGAACCCTGAATCCGGAACCGCAAACCTCGAGCCCCGAATCCTGAACCGTTAAACCTCAAGCTCCAAACCCTACTATAGGGGCTTAGATAATTGCCTGTACTACCGGGGGTTTCCTTATTCTAAGTATAGTATAATGGACCCCAAAACCCTAGTCTAATTCTTAAGGCCTTTTTCTACATCAAACCCTGAAGGTGCCGCTGGTTCACTACCATCGCGTCGCACCCCTTCACATGCGGAAGGCTTTTTGTGTTTCGGCCGCAAGCCAGGACGCAGTGTGGAGGTTTTAACAAGCAGTGACAGTATTCCGTCGAGTTCCGTTCTACATATATAGTATAGTCTTATACTATGCTCGTGTGATTCAAAGCGTTGGGCAGGCGGGGGGGGCGTGTGGGTTTTCGGGTTGACCGGTTTGCGGTTTAAGCTTAGGGTGGGGTTTTTGGGGTTTCGTGGCTTTTGGCTGAGGCTTTAGGTTTAGAGTTTGGTAGTTTAATATAGGGGCCTTAATAGTTACCTTTACTATTTTGGGGTGTTCCTTATTAAAGTTACAGTATAATGGACCCAAAACCCTATTCCAACTATTAAGGCTCCTAAAGTAGGGCTTGACTTGTGTAGGTTTCGAGGCTTGGGGGGCCTTTGTTTTGGTGTTGAATGGGTGTGGGGGGAAGCCCGGCATGGGTTTTTATGATTTAGGGTCAAGGGCTTCAGGGGCTCATCCAGACCCTAAGCCCTTCACCCTTCGCCCTGAACCCTAAACACTGAACTCTTAGGGTTTATGGTTTACACCAAACATCCCGAAGCTTTGAACCCTGAACACTGAACGCTGCTAGACTCTACACCTTTAGCCTTAACCCCTGTAAGAACAGTAATAATAACAATAATAGTAATAAAGCATAAAAGTTTTCATCACAATCATAATAATCATAATAATATCCCCTCTAGCAGACCTAGAGCCTCCCAGGTAACTACTACCACTTCACCACGGTGGCGCTGTCCCGTTTGGTGGCGCAAATCGGAGAGAACAGAGCTCCAAGCACGACGTGTCCCAAACAAAAACTCTGTACCACATGAGCCCCTGGAGTTAGTTGCTATGTCAGTTGTGCATGTATCTACTGGTTCGGTTTTAGTTTTGTTTGTGTTTCTGTTCTTCATCCTCCCCTTCAACGATAAACCGTGCAGTTCGGTTACTACCCGGCACGTTGTTGCCAAAGGGCGTGTCAATCCGCCCGGTGTAATTAGAGCATAAAAGGCACCAGAAGCAGCCCCCCGACACTCCTTCGTTATCCTAAACCCTAAACAGAAACCCAGGCCCGATATCAATAATACTCAGATCTCATGAACGCTCCCGTCGATTCTTGTCCCCCTCGCACGCAGGTTCGAGTACTCAAGAATAAACCCCTGAACGCTGGGTTCGTCTTTTGACGCAATCCTGAGATGGTTTCTGTAGCGAGGTTGAGAATCCCTTCATGCCCTGAGGCTCCATGTGCCCATATAGTAGATACTTAGGCCTTAAAGTACCTATATAGGGGCCCCTTTAAGGCCGAAGTACCTACTATATCAGCACATGGAGCCCCCTGGGATGTAGGCACATTCATGGGTTGACGGGGCTCACGGGGCTTCAGGGGTCAGTTCCGGGTCAGAGACTCGGGAGTTTCAGGCTTCAGGGTTTCATTAGGGCTCAAGGGCTTGGGGGAACACTTAGCCCTAAACCTCAAGAGCTCCCCAAACCCTAGACATAGGTGTAGGGTTAGGCATCTATGGGCGTTCCTGAAGCTTGAGATCCCCACCTGTCGGGAGCCCATGACATGGCTGAATTAGGGTTCTGCGATAAAGTATCTTTACAGTTTTAGGGTTAAGGGGTTTAGGGCTTAGTGTTTATGATTAAGGGCGAAGGGGTTTAGGGGTTTAGGGTTGGGGGCTTAGGGTGTATCTTGTTTGCTGTGAGCTTCCGACCAAGATCGCATGGTTCTGGGACTCTGACCTATAGCTACATCGGGACATAGCATATAGGGTATTGTGGACTTTTGCATTTAACCCTAAACCCTAAACCCCTAAACCCTAAACCCTAAACCCCTAAACCCTAAACCCTAAACCCCTAAACCCTAACCCCTAAACCCTAAACCCTAAACCCCTAAACCCTAAACCCTAAACCCCTAAACCCTAACCCCTAAACCCTAAACCCTAAACCCCTAAACGCCTAAACCCCTAAACCCCAGGTTCATCTCCGTAGGTTGTAGAGGGTCTCTAGGCTCGGGTTCAATGTCACGAACAGCGGAGATCAGGTTTCTTTCACGGTTTAGGGTTTTAGGGTTTTGACGGTTTAGGGTTTTGGGGTTTTAGGGTTTTAGGGTTTTGACGGTCTAGGGTTTAGGGTTTTAAACGGGTTGGGGCTTAGGGTTTAAGGTTCCGTCTTAAGGTTCACGCATGAGGGGTTGGTTCACGGTGTAAGGGTTGAACCTTCTCGAGGCTCGCAACCTAAACAGGACTTCTGAAGCCCTGGATCCTAAACCCCACCGCCGCAAGCTAGACTACTATTTGCTTAAGAACACCCAAAAAATAAAAAGTATATTCCTTATGGGGGCAATATAGGGATTATTATTTTTATTTTTTTGGGGGTTCTTAAGCAAATAGTAGTAGAGCCGCCGACAGCTGACAGATCCCAAGAGTATCAAAGCCCTGAACCCTCAGACCCCTAGCCCTTGGCTCCACCGTTTTATGCTGCCAAATTGCTTCCCTCTACCGCTCGCAATTTGAAGTCTCAAAAACAATCTCAATCTCTCAACCCAAAGCTCGAGACTCATCAACCCTTATAGAACGATCCCATCCCGTGAAACCCTACTATGCCCTACAACCCAGGGCTTAGGGTTTGGGGTCGAGGCTACTACCTCGACTGCAAGCAGATCCTACGATCGCAACTTGGGCCAGCATGAAGCTGTCTTTCGGGTTTAAGGCCTTTGGGTTCAGGGTTTAGATTCGAGTCTTGTTCGAGCAAGTTTTCAGTTTCTGGCTTTAAGATTCAGGTGGCAGGATTCAGGTTTTAGGATTTAGGGTTTCAGGGTCTTAGTGGCCTCGGCACGGACGTTCTGACGTAACTATCGTGCGTACTGAAATCGTGCGTTCTGAGACCGTACGTTCTGAAAGACCTGATCAAGTTGCACCTTTTGGCCCTGAGTTGTAGTCTGCTTGCATTGGCCTGGTGCATCATGGCAAGAGAGCCGCTAGATGCTGCTCTTGCAGCAGATCTGGAGCGGCTGGGACATGATGCGGCTGCGGTGGCTGCTGGCAAATGGCCTACTCGAAACCTGACGGACAGGAGTCTGCAGTTTCTCAGAGGCCGGACACTCCATGTGTTTCTTGGACCCCTCAAAACGCACCATTTCTGGGCGACACAGGAGCAAAGGCATAGGAGGGGATTTCATTGAGGGTCCGCTCCATAGAAATTGTAACAGTGGACACGGATTGGTGCGTTTATAAGCCGGCTGAAAACGCACACGTACGTTTTCGGATGCCTCGTGCATTTAGGTCCAGGCAGTTCTTGATCGATTTGGCCCTGAAGGGTTCACTGCATTGCCCGACTGTTAGCTCAACCTTTTCCGTATCAGGCCGCTTCATCTGCGGGATCTTGAATGACAAGCACACATATTTCTGCAGGCGGTGTTCCTGGACGTGTCGCCAGAGAAGTGCGAATAGATTGTTCGAGCATGCGGTGTTTGGCAAACACGTGAAGCTTTCGTCGTACTTGGACATTCATGGTCTAGAGTCGAAGAACCAAGTGCCTCAGGAGACACAGCAGTTTATTGAACGATATCGTGGCACAGGGAACTGCACCTCTCCGTGCGAACAACCCGTCGACAAGGAAGAAGCCCTGAACATGGCTGATTTGGGAGAGCCAGCTGCCATAACCTGGTGCAAGTTCAACAGATGGCTGCCTTTGTCATGGAAACCTTCTCGGACGTCCAGCCCAGCGCAAGGTGAGCTGCAGATGGCTGGCCATGCCTTGGATCAGGGAGCTTTTGCTAAACTTTAGACTGTAGAACTTTCGCTGGAGGGAGAATGTTTTCAGGGTGCGTTTTCCGGACCCTGAAAAACGCACAGCGGTTTTTGTGTGGCCCATGCCCAGGAGCAGCCGAGCGCAAACACGTGGTGGCCATGGTGTGCGCTGCCATGTCTGCTCGGGCCCAGGATGTTGATGCAGCTGACAGTACATGACGCGTCAAGTGCATCTTTGCATCTTCAGGTTCGCTCCAACGAGCATCCGATGTGGCGAGCCTTTCTCAAGACTCTCTCGCCAGAATACAGAATCCCAGAACGACACAGGATTTGGAGCCTCATCAAAGAGCTTGATGAGGCCATCTCTTGCAAATTGAGAGAGCTGCTGAGTGATGCTTCTCAGATGTGGTTCCTCACCAGTGACGGGGCGACCAGCAAGGGTGAGGGCTTGCTCTCGATCGATTGCAGAAACTCTCATGGTGACTGTTACCATTTAGCTTTGATCAATGGGGAATGGCGAAAGCAAGATGCTGTCTGGATCAAGCAACAATTGAAAGTGGCAGACCCAGTCAGTCAGCATCACTCTGAGCATATGTGTCTTCTTCCGAAAAGCATGCAGAATCTCCAGCGCTCCTGAGGTTCACACCGACCTGATTCCACCGGGGAGATTGGCTGGCCTAAGCTCTTGGCTTAATTATACAGCAGAGACTTGTGAACAGTCCTATTCTTTTTAAGTCTCTAAGGCCAGGACACAGCTAGCACTTGCCGGAAAGCATTCCGTCTCCTTGCGGAAGAGTTACGTGCCTCGGGCCACCATCGCCTGGATTATGTCTCTTGCGGTGAACATGTCGTCCAACTTCTTCATCAAGACCTTGCACGCTGCATACCTTGGGTCCAGGATCTTTCTGAGCATCAGAGTCTGTGTCTTTGCTACTAGTTTCGCATGATGCTCAGCTCAGATTCGGCTCCTGTCAGGAGTCTCACGAACGTGCTCACAATGCACAGAAGGTGATTCTAAAGAGGAAGCGTGCACGGGCCTTTGTGACGGGCGCCCAGAAGCATGCAGTATCTGTTGGGAAGCTGCGCCGTCTCCGAAAGCTCAGAGTGATTCGAAGAACCCGATTCAATTCCCGGGTGCAAGTCCTTGACTCCTTTCGGCTCAACACTCCGCTGATGCGGAGGGTCATTGCAGCTCCTGCCTTTGCGGCCACCATGCAGGTTGACAACGCCAGGAAGCAGAAGAGGGTGGACGAGGCTATGAAAGCTTGGTCTTACGATGCCACATACCACAGAGCACGACGTGCTCTGATCATTGGAGCTCCTTGCGCCGTCCCTGGCCCAGTTGACTGGAAAATTGCATGTTTCTGGACTCTCAGTCATCTTGGAATTGCGACCCGACCCTCCCTTGTGCGTTTTTCCAGGCGCGGAAAACGCACAGATTTGCGCTTCTTCCCTGTGCGTTTTTGCAGAAAACGCACGCGTCCTGTGACAATCAAGCAGCCACTCAGGAAACCCACTCGTGTCCCCAATATTTCGAACGTCCTCATGTCTGGGTGCTTATTGTCAACCCTGCAAAATGCACTTGCGTCCGCTACAAGTTTCAGTCGTTTATTGTGCAGTCGTTCCAGACTTCCTGTGTGCAAGTCTGTAGCTGTACAATGTAAATGTTTGAAGGATTTGCAAGCTGTGATTGATTCCAAATCCACATGCCTGCGACAGAGGTTCTTACCCGCAGAGTTGGCGGTGCAGACTTTTTCAAAGCCCACGCTGCCTGGCTGCACGCCCGCAACGACATCATCAAGGCCGTCGCCGACCATGACTTCGTGGATCACAAACGCAAGGAGACAGAGGCAGTGCTCCAGACTCGAAGGAATGCCATGGCTGAGATTTTGGACAAGCGCTCTGAGGCTTACTGCACCGCTGCCCACAAGGCTGCATTCGTTTTGGACCCCCGGCTGCAAGACTACGTCAACGACCCCGATGCAGATGAAGAGCTTGGCTTCTCTTTCACGCAAGCTCGACAGGCCATCCAAGCCCAAACTCGTTTTGTTGCAAAGATGATGCTGTAACTTGTTTTCCGTACTTTGATCCACGTAGCGCGTGAAGGACGCCGCCTATGTGCTCAACAGCGAGTACCTCCCAAAGTTTTTCTCCGAGCCCACACAGGTCAGGCAAGCCCAGTCGGCTGTTCGCGACTACTTGGCACACTCCGGGCCCTTCAAGAATGTCACTTGGCCCGACAAGAGTGCTTCCGTCGCGGATGTGGTGGGGTTTTTCGAGACCGGCCAGCCATCCTGGTTCCTGCGTGAATTGGGCCTGCACTTTGCAGCCCTTGCAGGCTCCCAAGGCATGTCCGAAAGAACTTGGGCAACACTTAGTCGCCAAGCTCAGCCGATCCGTGCCCGACTCATCTACCCTGCCAAGAAACGGTTGTTGAACATCGCCGCCAACTGGAAGCTTCTTTACCCGGACCTTGCTCCCATGCCGCCAGAGAGGAAGCGTCGAAGGCATGATTTTGAGATTCCGACCCTCGCAAGTCGTCGTGCCGGTCCATCGGAGCCCGCCGCTGAAGGTCCACAACGCTGTGATGAGTCGTCTTCCTCTACGAGCTCCTCCAGCTCGTCCTCTTCCAGCAGCAGCAATGTGCGCGAGATTCCCGACCAAAATGAAGATGAAGATCAAGGCTTTCCAGGTGATTCGCTTGTGGATGATTTGGAGGGTAGCGATGCCCCTGAAGAGGCAGTAGCTGCCAGTGCCTTGCGTGCTTTGGGCCTGGAGCCCTGAAATGTTTCTTCTCGGGCCGCCAATGGCGGCCCAGGATTTCCTGAGCAACAAGGCAAAGAGGAACATGTTAGTATGTTTCGCAATCATAGTCTGGGCACTCTGTATTCTTGGATCGTTCTGTGGGAGCTTCTCAGATCATCCGATCGTGATGCCGTGATGCCTTGTTCTCCAGTCTCATGTGGCTAACCTCAGTCGGGGAGCCGCGACCAGGGTGTCTGTGCGTTTTCACGGCAATTAGAAACGCATTGCGATGAGACACCACAAGCCAAGTGTATTTATTGTATAATAGTCTGGAGTTCGCTGTGCGCTTAGTTTCTGCCTGGAAACGCATCGGGCCGCCAATGCCAGTTGGCGGATCGGGGTTTAGTGAACAACAGGCAAAAGCATAGAGGAAGATGTTAATTAATATGATCGCCATCATTGTTTGGGAAGTAAGTAAACTTGGATCGTTCTCTCTGTGTGTGTTTCTCAAGTCATCAGACTGTGATGCCTTGTTGTCGAGTCTCATGTGGCTAACCTCAGCCGGGGAGCCGCGACCACGGTGTCTGTGCGTTTTCACGGTTCTCACAAACTCATTGTGGTGAGACACCATAAGCCAAGTGTATCTGTATTGCATAATAGTCTATAGTTCGCTATGCGCTTAGTCTCTGCGTGGAAACGCCTCTAATCGCCCATGCCATGCATGGGGGGAGCGGAGTTCAGTGAACAAGAGGAAAAGGCAGAGAGGGTGTCTCGCTTGGCAGACACAAGGTTTTGTGGACACTTCGCTGCTACATGTCAGTTCATGGTTTGTGTGCGTCTAGGGCGGCGCCCAGAAAGGCACGCACGATCTTTGCAGACCTGCCATGCCGTCGCTGTTTTCAAGGGTGCCCTGTTGTAACTATTATTGAATCTTGCAAGCGATGCTGCCAGCAGAAGCCGAATGTGACTGCACCTTCAACTGGACAATTTCAGGTTCCCATAGAAGGCTTGGGTTTGGCTCGTCTTCGTCAGGACCAGCTGCACATGCACAGGGGCCACGTTGCCAATGTTTCCATTGCAATACGGTACAGAGGGGTTGCCATGCGTTTCTGGCTTGGCTGAAAACGCACAGGGCCGCGACAGGCTTTGGTGCAAGATGGGCGCAAAGAATCCCTC